TTTCTGATTCGACCTGTTCTTCCAGTTCTTGGTTGATCTGGCGGATCCGTGCGGGATCTCCTTGTGCATGTTGTCGTCGTTCGATGTGTGCGTCCAGCGCACCGAGTTGTCGTTGCTACATAGGGTTTTGTGAGTCCTGTTGAATCCGCTGTAGGTGGGCTTGTCGTCCTGCGTAGAGGAGGCTCAGCCTTCGCTGATTGTCTTGTTCTAATTCCTCGTTGTCGTTCATACTGTCGAGCCGTTCGATTGTCTTGCGCTCGATTTTGCTGTTGCTTCTATATCCCGCAGCGAGGGTCCGTTTAGGTACGTTGGTAGTGTCGTAACCAGATCGTTCTTGAGGTTTCTAGGGGTACTATCCTGCGTGTTCCTTACTGCTAGAGTGGATATGGCAGTTGTCATCGAAGCAGGTGGTCCAATTAAGTTGTTCATGAGGGATCGTCTTCGTGGCGATACTTGCTTGTCGTTTCTCTGGTACCGGTTGGAAGCGTTCCTTCTTGGGTGACCTGCATTCGTATGCTAGGTGTCCAATCTTCTGGCAGTTATAGCACTGTCTGTCTTTCTTCTAACTGTCGTTCTTTTTGTCGTTTCTCTGTGTAGTACTAAGGTCCATTGGTCTACTGTGGTGACCATAGGCAGTACTTTGTCGGGGGTTGTTCCAGTTGTTGCGGGGTCTATTGTCGTTTCGCTGGTTGTTGAACTGGTGCTGAGGCTGCCACTGGTACTTGCGTCCTGAGTTAGGGTTTTGTCGTTTTTCGCCTCTTTCCTTTCGTCGTTCGAAAAGCCGGTTGTCGATTTTGATAGCGAGTTCGGCGTACTAGAGAAAGTCGTCAGGTCGATCAATCTTGATGATCTCGTCCTTGACTTCGTCTTTTAGTCCTTGATAGAACATAAAGATCTTGGTTTCCTCGGTGAGGTCGAGTTGAACGCTAAGTTGTCGGAAATTGGCGGAGTAGTCTTTGGCGGACTTAGTCTGCTTAAGTTATGCTAGATCTCGTTCGGCTTGTCGCTTTTCGTCGGGGTCTTGGAAGAGTGACCTGAGCGCGTCCTCGAATCCTTTAAAATTGGCGTAGATGTCGCGGGTCTCGGTAGTGCACTCGTCGAGGGTCTCGCATTTTAGGTACTCTTCCTAGATTGGTTCAAACCACTTGAGGGCCTTTCCTCGGAGGTAGGTGGCTGCGTGTACTACTTTTTCGGTTTCGTTGGTGAAATCTCTATGGTGAAAGTTCTGGTAGTTTTTGACCTGAATCAGGAATCCTTTGAGGGTCCCGGGGGTTCCGTCGTAGGTGACAGGCGCACTGAGCTTGAGCTTTTGTCGTCCTCCGTGGACGGGCGTGGTGACGATGTTGGCGGCGGCCCGGAGGGTGGTGATTTCCCCCTGGAGTTCCTGGATCTTCCGGAGGTTGGCGTCCCCCTTGATGTCTTCTTCCAGCTTCTTGTAGGCCTGTCCAGCGTGCTGGAGTTGCTCGTTGAGGTTTTCCATTGCTTGTCGGTTTTCGTTGACGATTTTCTGCATGTCTTTTGTCTCGGCTTCTTGTTTCTGGATTATGCGTCGGAGCTTATCGTAGCTTTCCTTGGTGAAAGAGCCATCTCCATCGGAGTCGTACTTGAGGTCCGGCATGTCGAAGTCCTCAGTGTTGGCGGGCTCCTGCGCGAGGCTCTGAGGCTGGTTGCGCGAAGAGGATGAGGATCCTGGAGTGGGTGATTTGGCAGAAGCGCGAGAAGACATCTTGTCTATACTGTTTAGTAGTTCTCAAAAGGTGACTTACTGAACAGGAGCAATCAAAGTGTTACGGCCAGCTAACTGACAGTGGGTTTGTGTTAACAGTAAGCCAGGGATTGAGAGTAGTAACAGTCGTTCCGTGGTCCTGGTCGAATAGATCGTAGATCTTCAAAGGTCTTGGTGATCAGTCAAGGCCTCAACAAGAGTCGTAGAGTAGTCGTCACTTAGGTATAGCTGAAAGTACCGGTTAGGGTAATCACAAAGTTGATTGCTGAAGAGCTATGGAAGTCTGACCATGGGCCGAGCTCAGGTCATACTATATACAAGTCCTAGACAGTCCCTGTGTCTTGTCGCTGATCACTGATCAGGTACCGGTGAGCGATCAGTGATCGTTAGTGAGCGCTCAGTATGATTGATTGATTGATTTATTCCTACTCGGTTATGAAGCCGCTCTTATGCCAGCAGCTATGCCCGGAAAGCGGGGTTTGGCAGGTAGCCGAAGCGTCGACAATGAACAGCGACGCCCCACTTCGCCCTGATGTTGCATCAGGGCCAGCTATCCCCAAGCTCCCCACTATGTTCTCTATTCTGTGTGTTTGTGCCCTCTGTTGAAGAAGTGTGTTGCTCTCCTGTCTGCTTTCTCGCTTTTGTGTTGCTCTCTAGAATGCTTGTTTTGCGTCCTCCTGCTTCGGTTCAGTTGGTGCTGGTAGCACCGTATCTGGTTCTTTGTACCTACAGTCTCCCCCCAGCGCTCAGCTTTGTCTCTTTGTTTTGTCCGTATCCTCCCGGACTTGTATGTGCCGTTTTCTCAGTTGCATCTGTAAATTCTTTGTTGCCTCCTGCCGGGTTCCTATGTGGCCTCTTGTTTCTTGCCTGTTGACCACTATTGCCCTCCACCACATTGGCCCAAGGGTCTTCCACGAAGCACAATGCTCCACTAACTCCGACATGTTCGATTACTGGGTATGAGAGCTCCCGCACAGATTCCGCAGACATTGTCGCGCGTTGAAGGGACACCAATCCTTCTTCGCAAAAGGGGCGACAGGGGACCAGTCTGTCTGTGGTCTGTAGTATTGTGTGGCATCGATCGTAGCATGCCTAATGCCTGGTGCTTTCTCCGTGCGGAAGGTGATACTGTTCTGTCGGACTCATCTTCGTCGTTGTGGGACGTTGCAAACTTTGTCGGGGGTGACAGGTGACCCAAAACCTGTCGGCGGCTGTTGTGTTGAAGTTGATTGTTTGGGCGCAGTCTTAGTGCTTCGTGTAGCGGCTTGTGGCTCGCCTGTGGTGGTGGTAACAGTGTTGTCTATTGATATGTCGTATTTTGCGGCTTGCTCTCAAGTTTTTCATTGTAGTCGGGGCGTGCTCTGCGGCCATCTTGGGCCCCTTTGGGACGTAGAATCAAGGCCGAGGATGGCATTGCATCGAAGGGGGCTCTGTGGCCGCGAGCACGCGTATTTGGGGCCGTTTTTGCTCCGATTTTCAAAAATTTCGTTCTCGCTGTTGTTGATGTTTTTTTTTCGTGAGCGCTCAGTAGCCCTGACTGAGCGCTCAGTGACCCATACTACCTGCTCAGTCTTATCTTATCATCACGTGACTTGTACCATAGTTCTTCCGTTCCCGAGTGAGTCCCTGTTGTTCCCGTGATCCTGCAGTACAAATGTCCTGTTCTAGCCGCCCGACGCCCAAGTGGGTCGTTCAGCTGTTATCCTTGTTTACGGGTCGTAACACTCTGCTTGGCTTTATTCCGCCCTTTGCGAAAACAAGGTCTAGTGGCACTGGACGGAATAACACGCCTCATTATATTAGCACACCGGCTACAGGAGAATGCTTCAAGCGCGTGTATAGCTAGCAGAGAAAAACAGACTGCTTCTACATGCAATCACATTTTCCAGTAGCCATTTTAAGTGCACAATGACGTAGAATCCTCTGGCTGATGTTAGAGGGTCTTTGATGTACTTCAACAGCCGACAAACTCCTCACCGTGCATAAATGATTAAGTCGTTGATTGATTGAATAACCAATTGATTTTAGGTTCTGGCCATTTCGCTCACTGAATATGCTGGGAGAGCAAATGTTTAGTTATAAGCCGAAGAATCTAAATGTCGATCCGTCGAGCCGCCAATTTGCAAAAGCCCAACACTTACGTATTAGCAGCTGTTTCTAACTTCCACAAATTGTGCCTCGATGGCTTTTCTTCATATGGCTCTCGACTTGTGTTATGCAGTTCGCAGTTTCTAATTGATGTACATACATACATGTATGATGCAGCGGGGTGAAAATGTATGTGGCGTTGGGTGAGGAATGATGATATGAGCTGACTTCTCAGAGCCACGTTCCTGGGGAAAAGCAAGAGAATGTTAGGTGAAAAGAACAAGTCGGTAGGCAGTAATTTTTCGATCTACTCAAATGTGTTGAGCGTAATAGTGACGGCTGAAGGGGAACATAAGTGGACTGACTGACCCGTCAACTCAGGACTTTGATTCTTGCAGTGCAGTCTTTACTATACTACCTTTGTTTCAACCTCGACCATAGTGCCGTCCCATAGGGCCCGCACGTCCTTTCTTTCAAACAAAAATGAAGTTATTCAAACAATCTATCGGACTTGCTTTGTTGGGGATATCAACATTTTGTGCCCAAACCACCTGGGCTCAATGCAATACCAACAATGATTGTACTGTCGACCCTACGGCCAAGGTCTGCAACACGAATACCAACACCTGTGTTGGATGTCTTAACAGCAATGATTGTGCCACGTCCCTCGGCGGCAAGATATGCAGTGCTACCAACACGTGTGTTGAATGCAACACGAGCACTGATTGTGCTGGCGCTCCCGGCGGCTCGAATTGTAACGCAAACTCGTGTGTTTGCGCTACTAATAATGATTGTGTTGGCAACGCCAACGGCCCGCAATGTAACAAATTCAATCAAGCGAGCCCCTTCGGCACCTGTGGTCCTGAATGCGTCGACGACAGTATGTGTGTTGGGAACACCAAAGGCCCGAAATGCGATACTACTAGTCGCACTTGTGGACAATGTCTTGCCGACGGCGATTGTGCCGGCAACCTTCTAACCCCGAAATGCAACGTTGCTACAAAGACTTGTGTTGGATGTAATAACAACGCCGACTGCACCCTCGACCCCATGAGAACGCTCTGCGACCCGGCCGCCAAACGCTGTGTTGGATGTTTTACCAACGCTGATTGCGCTACTTCTCTGGCCGGCTCGCAATGTAACCTCGGCTCATGTGCTTGTATTGCCAACGCTGATTGTGTTGGCAATGCTAACGGCCCTCAATGCAATAAACCTGCTCAAGGTGTCACCACTGGCACTTGTGGTCCTGAATGTGTCAACGACGGTATGTGTGCTGGCAACCCTAAAGGCTCGAAATGCGATCCTGGCACTCGCACCTGTGGCCAATGCCTTGCCAATGCCGATTGTGCTGGCAACCCTGCCGGTACGGTCTGCAACACTGATAGGAAGACTTGCACTGCTCTACCACAACCACCCCAACCACCCCCGAGCACTGTCTTGACCAGTCTCCCGGTCACCCAGTCCCCTCCCGCGGCCGGGGCCAGCTCCACACCTGTTGTAGCGTCTTCGGTTGCCGGCGTCAGCTCCGCCCCTGTTATAGTATCTACGGTTTCCGGTGCCAGCTCCGCCCCCGTCGCAGCATCTTCGCCTGCTGCCGGTTCCACCGGCCTGGTCAACCCTCCAGCCACTGGCTACACAGGTACTCCCAATCTCGCTGCCCAAGGCATTCAGACGTTCAACGTATTCGAGAGGGCTGGAACTGGACAGTCGGTCAACATCGAGTTCATCGACGCTAGCGGCAACAGGGTAGTCTACCTTCTTACATCTTTAGGTTGTAAGTCCGTTCCGGTCGGACAGTCTCCGTTTACGGATGGTACAAGCCCTGCTGGAGTTGCTTCCAAGCAGGCTTGTGTTACTACCTGCGCGCCCTCATTCAAGCTTAACTCCTACGTCGGGTCTCAGTGCTACTGTGGCTCAACATTGAAGGATTTGCCAACCGTCCCTTGCCCAGCGGCTCCAGCTCGCTTAGTGCGTCGTCAAGGAGGTAACACCGCCCAAGTCATCCAAGTCGACCCTCCTACGGTACCCATCAGCTCAACTACGTCGGGCTCCGGTACTTCTACCAGAAGCTCTACCAGCAGCTCTACTAGCGCCCCTGCGACTAGCATACCCACAGGCACGAGCATCAACACCAGCTCGGGTAGCACCAGCCGCACTGCGTCGAGCAGCTCATCCACGAGCACAAACACTGGCACGGGTAGCGGAACCGCAAACACCGGCACTACCACCGGCGCCGGTAGCCCCACAACTAGCCCATCCACGGGCATGGGCACTGGCACTGGCGCGGGTGAAGAAACCGGCATCCCGGGCTCCGAGTCAGACCCCAGCTCAGCCCCGGCCCCCACGGCGTCTGGTTTAGGTACCGTTAACCCTATTAACATCGGCGGGTTTACTTACCTTGGCTGCTACGGATCTCCTTCTAGCTTCCCGACCTTCAACCTGTTATTGTCTGCTGAAGCTATGACTAACGACCGCTGTATTGCCCAGTGTGGCCCTACTGGCAAGCGTTACGCTGCTACCTTTGGCAGGGACTGTTTCTGCGGCGACTTTATTGACGACGTCAATGAGATCAAGACCCCCGAGGAGCAATGTAACCTCTCCTGCCCTGGTAACGGCAGACAGGTCTGCGGTGGCCGTGCTGCGAACCCTGTCGTCAAGGCCAAGCGCCAGCTGCCCGGAGTCATCCCGGCTGTTATTCGCTTTAGCATCTACGTCCGAAACGGCGCCGCCCCCCCCGGTGTCTCGGGTGTCCCCTCCGGCACTGCTGTCATTCCCGGCACCACCAACCCTTGCGCCAACGGAAGATGTCCCAACATCCCTTGCTATGGTGACGACTGCTATAAGATCATTGTTTGCTACGGTGGATACTGCGCCTTCAACTTTCCCTGCTTCGGTTCCGATTGCCATCGCCGTCTAGTATGTAACGACGGTATCTGGCGCCCTGAAGCCTGTACGGGATACGACTGTGGCCGTAAGGTTGTATGCGTTTCCGGTCACTGCAACTACGTCGAAAAGGGCATGGCTGAATGGAACGAAAAAGTTACCTGCCACGGAAACTACTGCCAGGTTGAGAAGTGCTCTGGCGACGCTTGCAACCAGAAGTACGTCTGCAAGGACGGCTCCTGTGTCTTTACCAACAGTACCGCGGCGGACGCGCTCAACAAGTACGAGTGGTCCGGCGACAAGTATACCGTTGTCAACAGCTGTGAACCCAACTGCCCCAAGCCTCAACCTCCGTGCGCGACGTGTGGCATCGTCATCTCGCAGGCTCCCGTCACCCAGACGACTTGCGTCGGTGCTTCTTGCAGCACTGTCGTCGTTCCCCAACCTCCCATCACCAAGGTTCCTTACCAGACTGCTCAACCTACTGCCCAACCCCCTGCCGAGACCGGCAAGGTTGTCGTCGTCGCCGGAACTATCAAGTTCGCTGCCAGCGTTGGTGCCGTCGTTTTTGGTGTCATGGCTGCTGCCATTCTGCTCTGAGGGGTTTATCCGAGCTTGGGGAGTTAATGTCACTTCTTTGGATGCATACCTCGTAGAGGAGATTGAATCATAGGCGGTTTAGAGCTACAGGTAATAGCATTTCTTTTTAACAGTAGCCTACTGGTTCTAGGAAGTATATTAGCTCCCTCTTCTCTGCTACAAAGAAACGTTAATACACTGTTTTACAATCTATATTGAAATGTATCTACGAAATAGACCTGAAAATTGGTTTGTCTTCAACGTCCTACCTCATCAGCACTGGTTTGAAGTCTTTAGTTTAATGGTGAGGGTCTTTGAAGGCATTGTTCTCCTTCAGAGGTTGCAGTCTACTATTCTTGTGCTTCTCCATCATTCTTAGAAGTCGATGGCTAAAATGAGCCAACTTCAGGATGACAGACGTAGAATTGTTGAAGATGCGGTCGATTGTGCTACATCACGTGCCGTCTAGATCGTAACAAAGACATACTCAACGAGCCGCTGCGTCGTTGCTATTTCTGACGGCGAAGTCATGGGCCATTGAGATTGGCCTTAGTACAAGTATTTAAATAGAGGTGTTAATTTTACAAGTACGGTGTATTATACCTGAAGTTACCTGGGTCAGGACTGAAGCATGTGCAGGATCAAGGTAAGGAAAAAGACAAACCTTTCGGAGAGGATTCAAGCAATTAGAAATCAACTGCTTAAACAAGGTTGAGCGACGCAGTCGTAATGTTAGAGGCAGAACGTTGTCTATGCAATTTTCTTGCAATTGTTGTTCGACGAAAGAATTGGGGACAGTCTCAAATGATGTTTGGGGATTGACTAACAGCTCTCCAAATACAAGATGGTGTACTATGTACCAGGCAGTATTATATCAAGTATAAGCTGGCAACGGAGCCCCTAGCAGAAACCACTTGAATGAGAAGACACATGGTGAACCATTCCGTCAATTTTCTGTGCATTTTGAAGTGGACCGACACCATAGACGCATGTAAGAAAATCGGGCAGCTGAGTGGTTTTAACTGTCGCCAGCCACAGTGAACAGCCACAACGCCAAATGCACTTGTTGTCATGTCCACGTGTGACTCGGGACACTTCAAGGCAACAGTATCGTCAATATCGAATCCCCTCTTTCTTAATCACGCAACAACAAACAAAATCAACATTCAAAACATCTTTGAATACTAGAGGCAGTGTCTGTCGTGATTTGTGTCCATCATGACTCAATCGGAATTCAATGCTGGCGATGCATCATACCCCGCCGGAGTTCCAGGCAAATTCGCACCCGATGGCTCCGTCCAGCCTTTCCAAGGGAACACCATTCTCTGCCACCTTTCTCCTACAGATCCATTGTATAAGTCCATGGAGTCTCTGTCCGAGAAGCTTGCCAAAAGCAAGCTCTCTTCGCTCATCACCCTGCTACCAGCCCCGAGCTTCCACATGACCCTCTTCGAAGGGGTATGCGATCAGGTCCGGATGCCAGGTTACTGGCCGTCTGACCTTCCTCTGGACTCACCACTAGAGCAATGCCATTCTCATTTTGAACAAGCGCTTGCTGGTTTCGACGTCGGAATAGAGGGTGCGCCACCTTACAAAATGACTGTTCAGGGCTTCGACCCCCTCCAAGTTGGTATCAGTGTGTGTCTCGATGGCCGTACATCGTCAGAGACACAGAGGTTGAGGGTTGTTCGCAACAAACTGGCCGACGCACTCAAGATACGCCATCCGATCCATGACCAGTACGGGTTCCATCTCAGCGTCGCATACCTTTTGCGGCATTTGGACGGCGACCAAGAACAGGAACTGAATGCGTTTCTCGCAAGCCATTTTGAAGAAATGCCCAAGGAGTTTGAGCTTGGAGCACCGGAATTTTGCGTCTTTGACGACATGTTTGCCTTCAAGCGACGCTTTTACCTCGGAGGCAAATCAGGCTGAGATGGTGTATGCCAGCTTGACGCCCCGTAATCCAAAGCCGAGAAAACTTGTGCAAAATCCAACGCCCAACGCAGCAAAAAAACGTAAGCAGCTAATCGCTGTGAGGATTTGAGCCTCACGCGGGGGTCGAACCCGCAACCTTGAGATTAAGAGTCTCACGCTCTACCGATTGAGCTAGCAAGGCGGGTCTGTGATATTTGATGACCGGAGCAGGCGAGTTGGTGCTTGTGACCTCCGCCATGGCCGTGGTCGTCGGGTTTTCATGCCATTGTTGGGTGGGTGCCGAACGGAGGGGCTTCTGGGGATTCAGATTATGATTCAAGTTTTTTCAAAAATTAAAAAAAAAAAAAAAAAAAAAGCTCGTAGAAACTGGGTATAATACACTCTGTCTAATATTCGTCATCATTATCCTCGGACTCCCCCGCTCTATACAATCCAAGCCGACTCCGCGTAGTTCTTTGATAGGATCTGGTCTGTGTTCTGAGCGTACTTCAACCAGCAAAAGGGGTTGTTGCCGCCGTCGTCATCCCTGTAAAGATACACGATGCCTGCACACCTCCAGAGGTCTGTCTGCTGGTTGAGGTTGTACACAGCGCAGAACCGAATGCATTCCTCAATGTTCCTCGTCGGGATCTTGGTGATGTCCTTGTAGATGTAATCCTTGCCGCAGTCCTTCACAAATGTCAGGTTCGTTCCAGGGATCTCCCACTGCGGTTTCGTCGAGGTGGTTGGGCATTCGCCCTTTCGGATTGCGGTGTCGGTTGGCGCAGGCTTGCTCATGTCCAAGGCGGCGACCGATGTTGTTGTGGGTGTCGGGGAGGCTGTGGCCGACGCCAAAGCCGATACCGATGCTGAGAGGCTGTCGAGTAATAATTAGTATTTGTAAACCTTGTCAGAGATCTTCAGAGGTGGGACTCACTCTGCAACCTCCGAGTTCTTCTGCGCCAACACGGCTCCCATAGCTCCTGCAATGGCAATCACAGCAGCAAGAAGAGCAAGGCACACAAGCGTGAGGAGGAAAGTAGGCTTGCGCAGCCCACATACCCTCCGATCTCCTTTACTTTCATGTTGGACCGGTGGCACAGCGACGGGAGGCTGGTGGTTGTTGGTATACGTTGTCTGCGTGTATTGCGTTTGCGGTGTCTGAGGGTTGTGGTCATAGTACGCCTTGTATTGTTGCACCTCTGGCTGATAGGCGTCTGGTTGATATGCCTGCGGCGCCGTGTTGAAGTGGGCACCCTCATTCACTTCGAGTCCATCAGGGATGGCCCCGGCTTCGGGACCCGGGGCACCGTTCGGGTTCTTGAGCATCTTCTCGGCTTCGGGTGAGCCGGAGTGAGTACTATGTCTGCTCGAATGAGGCTGCTGTTCGTGCGGATGCAGAGAAGCCATCTCAACACAAGAGGGAAGAAGAGAGCGAATAAAGCGGCCGGGTGAAGCTTAAATTAAAGGTTGAGTAAATGAGTGCAGCATCACAAGTGGATCGATACCAAGGAATTGGCGGGGATGATCAGGCAGAAGCAATTCGGCGAAAAAGAGAAGCAGAGGAGGAAATGTATAGAAAATATGGGTTACACAGCGGGAGATGGCGACTTGAAGGATTCTCAAAGCGTGCCATCGCGCGCATCAGGGGGGAGTTTGAGGTGGATCATCAGCAATACTTGTTTTGGTGAAAACTACATCGTTGGCAACGGTAGGGCTGGCGCTTAGGATTCTGGAGGGGGGAGAGACGAGCAACGTCTAGCATACCGACGGCCCGCGACCTTTTGAATAGCGTCACATGGTGACAGGGCAGAATTGCAAGCAAAAAGCAAGCAAAATGAAATGGAGGTACAACCGGGCACTGCCCATGCCCTTGAGCTCAGCCTCTGGGCTAAGTTTGCGGTCCAATAGACAAGTTTCAAAGGCCGTGATCATCGCTGAAGGTGGTTTGTTTTTGGTAATGAAGGATTCGATCCCCTGTCACAGTCTAACGCTTTTGTGAGAGACTAAGCTTGCATTAGAACCATAGAAGGATGCCTAAAGATGTGCCAACCAAGTCCTTTTTGACGCCTCTAATTTCGTTCCCTCTCGGCACTGGGTTATGGTTCCTCTAGCCTGCTGCAAAGGTGCATAATCCCCATAATTGTTCCATCCCTAGGCTTTTCGGAGACCAGAAGGATTCTTCCACCATATTTCTTCCGAAATCACTCGGTGTTTTCCTGGTCCCCTAAAGTTTGATGTCCGGTGAGGCCATTGTATGTACGAGTAGCCGAATTTGGTAAGGAACAATGATTTAGATTGGATAGACGAGTAGTGATTTTCATCCGTTCGGCGGCCGTTCGACTTTGGCCCTGCCAGCTACTAGTGGCAGAGTGGGTGACCAGGTTTCTTTAGGATAGAATTGCGAGTGAGACACCATGCTGGCAGCCTTTGGATCTCGAAAATGGTAGAGATCATCTGCCAGACACCAAGATGATTCAAATAAGCGCAATCGCGGTGCAAACAGTCACCAACAACAACAAGGTAGGTATTCTTCTACAATGCTACGTTTCCAGGCGCGTTTTGGACGCGGCAACACACTTTGGAACCAAAACGCCCGATAACGACAAGCTTTTTCCCGTGGCTCTGACATCTTTCGTGGCTTTCTTAGCGGCAATATCCACACAGCCATGGTCGGATGCCATCCTTACGCCGTTGTTCGAGAAGGGAGGAGGGCGAGGGATAGACGCTTAGCCGCCACAACACTCCAGAATCCTGTCGCTTGCTGGCTCGTCTTATTTTTTCCCGATTCAAGTCAAAAAAACATTATTCAGCATTGTGGCTGTGACGCTGGCAGTGTATTAGAACAGATGATTATGAGGACATGCAGCATCGACTGCTCCCAGCCCAACACCCAGCCCTCTACACGCACTGCCATTTCTCCTCACCCTTCATCAACTAGCTTGAAGTCTCTCAAGAGGTTCATATATTGGTATCTGCCGAACTATCGTCGTCTAGTTCATCCACGATTCAAGTGGCCCCGTGTGCCTCTCCTGCTTCACACCGCGTCGCAGTGACTAATTTTCACTCATCATGAGTTTCTGAGTATAGCTATGGACTGCATTACGTTAATCACACCATTCACATCATTTTCATTCACAAGTATGTTCACAGTTCAACGAGCGCTCATCCGGAGGACGCCGCTTGAGTGGAGGCATGTGAAGATGAGCGCGAACTCTATTAACCGTGACGTCAGCTGCGCCTCTCATCATTGCTGAGACAGGCGCCTCCAAACCACGTAACTTGTGTCCAAGCGTGAAAGCAGAGAGATAGGAGTCGCGGCAAGCCTTAACTTCTCTTCATCTGCACTTCGTGATTCTGTTCCTAGTGAAATCAATTACTGAGAAGCCACTCAATTTTCATCAGGGAAGCACCGTGATAAAAGATGTGCCGCTGGTTCATATACTTGGGCGACGAGTCCCAGCTTCTCGATGACCTTGTCCTTCGACCGCGCCATTCCATCGTGAAGCAAGGTAAGCCGAATACTTGCGCGAGATGAACGACACTGATGTTGGTAGTCGATGATCATTTTCTTCCATCCGGTCATACTCCATTCGACCCGTGGCAGGCTGAATATGCCACACCGTCGTCAGCAAACGACACCGGATCTCCGAATCCCCTAACCAACATGGACGGCTTCGGCATAGGATGGTACACATCCAGCCAATGCGAATTCGATCCGCGGGCGCAGAGCTCAGGTCGGGAATCCCTCCGCCCTGTCGTGTACAAAAATACTCGGCCACCTCTGAACGACCTCGTGTTCAAAAGCATTGCCAGAGGCACCAGCACACAGGCTGTTCTAGCCCACGTCCGAGCTGCACCGGGTCTTACGCCTGTGGTGGAGACAAACTGCCACCCCTTCGTCTTTGGAAGGCACCTGTTCGCGCACAACGGGATCTTGGGGTACTTTTCTGTCATCAAGACGGTTATCTTGCAGTACCTCCCACTACGGTATCAGACGGCGATTCTTGGGACGACTGATGCCGAGCACATTGCGGCGTTGTACTTCTTTATTCTCTGTGAAGAAACAGGCGATTGGAACTCACTCTATCCTATAGACAAGATGGCTAAAGCTATGAGTGAGACGGTTGCTATGTTGGAGGGAATGCAGAAAGAATTCGTTGGAAAAAGAGGCCCCGCCCAAGAGAATAACACTCTAAACCTAGTCGTTACCTCAGGCAGTTCGCTGGTGGCCCTTCGATATGCGAGTCCGAACGGCGTGGAACCCCCAAGTTTATACTACTCGAAAACTGCTGGTGCTACTCTGAACAGAAAGTTCAAGGGGCATCCAAACAGCGTTGGTGGCAGTGAGACAGATAATCGTGACGATGGACGAGAGGAGAAGGAGGCTCATTCGGCTCATGTTCTGGTAGCTAGCGAACCGAGTACTTTTGACCTGGACGAATGGGATCTGATCGAACCATCCCAGATGGTTTTGGTGGATGATGAAATTCAATTGGAGTTAAGAAAATTGTAGAGGCATCTACTAATATTTTTTCATGAGCAATTTATGATCTCCTTCAAGATCGAAATGTTTGGACGCATGTTCATTAGGGAACTTCTCATGCGTCATTGATTTATGTCTTCAGAATCGCTGTGTGAACCGGTCCACATCATCTAATATGACTATTGGCTTCTGAGATTGTTTTGTTAAGGTGTCGATCAATGGAAGTAAATCAAGCGTTAAGACGTCCTCACAATTTTTGACGACGGAAAATAGGAGAGGATGGAACACAGTGTAATTCAGGACGATAATTATCTTATAATACCAAAATCTAAATTCCAAAGCAAGATTAATCTGTCATCGAGATGGTAAGGCACACGACTTGTCAAAATACTTTGTTGAGCAATCAGTTCCCAGATCAAACGATCCTTCTTTGACAAGTTCCGAGACAGGACTGGAGAACAATAGACAAGTGTTTACTTGTTGAGTTTTCTGATCCTCAACACCGAATGCCCAAGCTGTTGTCAGTTAGTCCACAAGATCACAAAAAGACGCAAATCAAGCAAACTTACATTCGCATCCCTCGGTGGCCTCGCAGGCAGACTTCACGTCTTCAGCCCCCGTGCAATCTGACAGCCCTCCGATAACCACTTCGTAATGGCGTGAAACATCATCTCCACAAGTTCCGCACATCGGCTGTGATGCCGCTCCGGCAGATGCGCTTGGTGTTGCGCTACTTGCAGCACTTGCGGGTGCCGACTTCGGGGCAAATGAACACGCTTGAGAGAGATCACGTCTCTTTCGACGCGTACCTCTCACGCCTTTGCATGTTTCGGCTATGTCATACCCATTCCAGGCTATTGAGGGGTAATCTGGACCATCGATGCGCGGATATGAAAGTATTCCCAAGATGTTGCGCATGTTGGTGGAAACCTTGCCTGGGACGAAATTCTTACTATAATCCGGGTGCGCCATCCAATATGCTGCAATGCCGGCAACTTGAGGAGCGGCGAAGGAGGTTCCTGAGACCGTTGCAAGGCCGGATAAATCAGACGGGTCGGCGCATTTGATTTCTTCGCCAACCGCCCAAGTCGTCAAGAGGCGACCGCGCTGACTTGCGGCGGCCATCTTGAAATCCTTGGTCGCTGCACCCACCACAATTATAGGAAGCTCGTCTGCCAAGATGGCCGGTAGCGTATCTGGCTCTGTGATACCTTGTTCGGCAAAGTTCCCAGCTGCCGTAATAAAAGGTACATCCTCTTCGACAAAGCCCTCAACGAGACGTCGTGTCTCGGTTTTTAACCAAACATGGCGCGGCCGCACTAGAATAGAGGTCGTAACAACAGCTTTCCCTTTTAGCTTCTTCCTCTTAATCTCGTTCAATGCCGCTTGGAAACCATCTATGAGCCCGAATCCGTGTGGCTCGATTTGTATTGCAACCAGATTCGCGCCCACTGCTGATCCAGCCGTTTTCCCGACGACCTTTGAAGCTACGCAAGTTCCATGTTGAGTGTCTTCGAGGGTGGACTTTTTGTTTTTTGTTAATCTCAACTCCCGGCGGGTGGCTTTTGTTGCAGGCGGCGCAAACTCGTCATGCTTCAAGACAAATGGCCCCGTGTCGATCACGAATACGGTTATGCCCTTGCCACCCGAATCATCAAAGCGGTAATCGGGTAAAGTAGCCATGTGCGGTGGAGTCGAAAGCGTTCGTAAATCGAATATGTCGTTATCTGCAGTAGGGACCCCTGAGGCCTCTGCTCGCTTCTGCCGAGAGGGTGACGATGCTTGAGTTGAAGCTGGGCCTGGGTTCACAGTATCACGTGTGGCACTCTCGTTAGGCTGAACTTCAGAAACGACACTGTCGGCTTTGACTTTGTCAAGCTGGTCGGGACTGAGGTTTGCGCGCCAGATAAAAGGAGTATCGAGTTCGTTATATATGGCGTCCATGTTAGGTTCTCCCACCATGTTGGCAAGCGTATTTCCGAAAGCATCGCCATCTTCTTTGGTAATACCGGCCTTGGCAAATATAACATAGTCAGCAGCTGTATCGCCTGCCGCTGCTGATGGTGCGGCCGTATTGGTAGCTGTGTTTGTGTTTTCAACGGTTCCTGTGCTTGTTGCTTGCACTGTTGTGCTTATGAAGCTATTAGATATTGATTCCTGAGGTGCCTCCTGATCACGGTAACTGAAGGAATGAAGGGCGCTTGTTTCATGCAGTTGTTGAGCGCAGCATATTGAAACAATTGTCAGAAAAGCACTAAGACAATGAATGAGTGTCATTTTAACAGTAACGAACGGCATTTCGGTCTCATGACCGAAGAGATACAGAAGCACAAAGCAAACGAGTGATGAGGATACCAGTTTGGCCCTGTGCAACTACCGTGTAATGTATGTTAAATATGAATCTACGCTCGACGCGGAAGTCGCTTTGTACACCATCCCAGGAGTTGGTTGAATTAAGAAATGATCAACGGCCATGTAATGCATAAATTACTCGTAGATTATTACACACCTGTGGGAGGTATACCATTGTTATAGAAGCTGCAATAAGCTTGTTCGTCGAGTAATGTCCGCTTCTATTACACGGCAGGCATAGAGTACGCTGAGTCTCTCGCGCGAAAAGGTTGTACCGATTGCGGCTGTGCTATAGTTACTGGAGATTACAGTTTGTCTGAACATCCTGGTGAATGGAGCAAAGCAGATCCCCCTTTTCTTTTCCAATGGCGATCTTCTCAATCGCAACCGTAACATACCAAAATACGTTGATTACTACAACTAGAATTTCTGCTTCCACCATAGAGAACTTTCGTAATTCGAGTAAGTAGACAAGGCTAAACTTAATTCAAAACTCCCAATCGAAGGATTAATCAACAATTGGCTTACTTTTTGAGGTCAACAAAGGGGCAGTTCAGGAACCTACAGCGTGTGCAGGGTTATCGCTACCACTGAAACTTGGTGTTTGAGTACTCAATATACGGCTACTCCGTTCCACTCTGAGTCAATTCCGGGGCGCCCCTCTTTAGAATCATCACAATCGACCAGCCTAATTATTTTAGACGCTTCTGAGGCCCGGCTTTCTCTTTTTTCCCTATGGTCTTTATCCTGACATGGCTTGACAAAAGGATCTGTTCATACCAAGATATTACTGAATAAAATGATTATTAAGCCCCTCCCTAGGCTACATAATTTTTTAAGACACTAGCAGACTACTCGGGGGTAACGAGCTTCAGTTTGTCTTTGTACATTAGGTAGCTTCAGCCACTGATGGCCATATGCTTCACAGAAGGGTTAAGTCTCCAAAGTCAGAACGAAGGTTTCGTTTCTATAAGCCGAACTAATATGTAAAATATACAGCAAATGGGGCAGAATTCTTCCACTCAGGAGAGTACTTTCCAGAGGCTAAGGCCTGAACCCCTCATCGATTCTTCGGTACGGTTTCTGACTATTGTGGGACATCTCCAAGAAGACATGGATGCTACGGTAATCAAGTCGCAACGCCCGATGTGCTTCTGCAAATCATGGCTCAGTTCTTTTTTCTCGCTTTTGACAACGCAACGTCAAGAAGCCTTATCTTTCTTGTTCTTCCTTTACTATTTTGTTTGTCCCAGTAGGTGGTTGTTAGCCAAGTGTTTCTCTCACGACGGGTGTTCAGATGATTCATGGTCGACCAATTCAAGCTGGCACCGAAGCTAGTCTCCTTTCCAATGGAAGATTCTGACATTTCAACTCTTATTTCCGTTCCACTGGCATGCATGACTTCCTTCTTGGGCATTCAAAGTAGCACCTCAATTTCCTGTAGGGCTGAGCCAAGACAGTGAGGCCGGGTTACGTGCAGGTTCCCGCGGGGTCCGCTCATCAAATTCCATGCAAACTGAATGCATCTAACATGTCTTCGGCACGTTGCCTACCATCAGCGCGACTTGGCTTTAGCAAGCTGGCCATAACTTGACACCAAGAACAGGACAAGAAGAGCGGAACCTAACAAGAGAAACGATCTTGTCCTGAAGTTTGACCTGGACGATCCGCCATGTGGGCGTGAGGACCCGCACGTGGGGGCCAAATGAAAAAAAGAATTCCAATAGCGCCAGCTGGTCTGGAGACATTATGTCTAAACCACCAAAGAAACCACTCATTTGCGTGCCAAGCTAACTGTATGTGTAGTAGTGCTTCCGGTCATGGAACCGCGTTTGGCAAAGTCTGCGTGCCACCCACCTTATCAATCAATCTAATCAGATGTTACTATTGTCCCCCATTGGACCGTTCAACAAAGATGCTCCGATTTGATGTCGGAAACCCGGCATGGGACGCGTTGCCAAGAACCTACACGGCAGCAAACAGTCCCTACCCGACCCGAAGGATCGGATACCCTCCAGCGGCCGTGGTCTCCGCGCCAAGAGCTAAACGATTTTTGTACAAGTCAACCGTGACCTTCGGATACTGTCTCGCTATCATACGAAGACTCTGCCGCTGTGAAAGACATGCAATGCGTGGGCCAAACAAGCTGTTTACGTAAAGGAATAAGCTTGTGATGCATGGTGGGTGAGATCCGAGGTGCTTCGCTAGAGCGTGGCGCAAAAGTCTTCTACCAACAGGCTTTCAACCGATATTTAAGTTGCCAGCCGGGTGCTTATCCGCACGTCGCTTTTCTTTTTCCAGTCACTCATCCAAGTAAAAATGGCAGTCATTTCCAGGCTTCAAGAGGCTCTTAGCCGTAGGCAAACCAGGACCGAGGATGAGGTCGTAGCCGTCCCCGAGCCGACACACGACAAGACTGCCGCTGCGGAAGCTGGTGAAGTTCCTGACGAGAAGCCGGTCGATGACATACCAAGTGACAACGTTCAACATGGAGTTAAACTAGCCCAGGCCTTATCACTTACCTGGAACAAGAGCTCACTAGTTGCCATCTTCATCTTGTAAGTATTTACTTCAATTTGCATGCCCTTTCTCATGGGTGAGCCCATAACTAACCTCCAACGTCTTAATCAAGCATGTGGTTTATTTATCTTACCAACGGTTTCCAGAGCTCGGTTCTATCCAGCTTGACCCCATATGCAGCGAGCGACTTCGAATCCCACTCTCTACTGCCAGTCATCAACATCGTTTCCAGTGCGATGACAGCTTCGGTGTATATTCCCCTGGCCAAGATATTGGATCTCTGGGGCAGAGCCGAAGGATTCTTGTTAATGGTTTCTTTTGCCACATTGGGCATGATTCTGTTGGCCGCTAGTCAAAATCTGGCCACCTACTGTGCAGCGACGGTAAGACTCGACCCGCAAGCTGTCATAAAATTCAACAATTCTAACGCTTAGGACGAAAGGTGTTCTGGAATGTTGGTTGGTCCGGCCTCATCTATAGTATCGATGTCATGACAGCCGACTCCACCAAGCTGAAGAATCGAGGCTTGGCTTTCGCCTTCACATCGTCGCCCTACATCATCACGGCGTTTGCTGGACCTAAAGCAGCTGAGGGTTTCCTCGAAAAAGTTAGCTGGCGCTGGGGCTTCGGGTGTTTCTCAATCATTCTACCTGTCGTGGCTGCGCCCTTGTACAGCGTCTTGAAGTGGAACATTCACAAAGCCAAGAAGAGAGGCGTCCTTATCCGAGAACCAAGTGGTCGAACATTCGTCCAGAACATTTGGTGGGGCATCCTCGAGTTTGATGGTATAGTCTCGTGCCCTTTCATTCCTTATATCAACGGAAATCGTTGCTAATCGACCTAGTGCTTGGCGTTGTTCTATTCGCCTGTGGCCTCGTTACCTTCCTTCTCCCATTTACTCTGGCCAGTACTGCCCCCAACGGTTGGTCATCTGGTTATATTATTGCCATGATCGTCACAGGCTTCGTTGTTCTCGTCCTGTTCTTGCTCAACGAGCTCTTCCTGGCACCGGTTCCGTTCTTCAAGTTCGAATTCTTCGCGGATAGAACCGTCATGGGTGCTTGCTTGCTGGACATTACATACCAAATCGCCTATTACTGCTGGAACAGCTATTTCACATCCTTCCTGCAGGTCGTTAACAACGTGTCCGTATCCGAAGCAGGATATATCGGCAACACCTTCGACGTCGTTTCTGGTGTTCTTCTGTTCATTGTCGGATATTCCATGTCCAAGACGGGTCGTTTCAGGTGGCTTTTGCTGATTGCAGTACCACTATACACCTTTGGCCAAGGCCTGATGATCTATTTCCGTCAGCCAGGTCAGAGCGTTGGATATCTCATCATGTGCCAAGTCTTTACCTCCATCGGCGGAAGTGTCTTCATCCTCTGCATGCAGGTTGCTATTCTTGCAGCAGTTGACCACCAACACGTTGCCGCTGCTCTTGCAGTGTTGAGTGTTTGCGGCAACATTGGCGGCTCCGTTGGCAACACCATCTCGGCTTCCATTTGGACTAATACCTTCGAGATGGCACTCGAACGTTACCTTCCGGAATCTGCGTTGGAGAGTATCGGGGATATTTACGGCGATCTTGATGTGCAGCTAAGCTACCCCATGGGCAGCGATGAGCGGATTGCTATCCAAAAAGCGTACGGATATGCGCAGACAAGGATGCTTGCAGCAGGCACTTCTATTATGATTTTCGGCTTTGTTGCATTGTTCATGATCAAGAACTACAACCTCAAGAAGATGCACCAGACCAAGGGTCTCGTTTTCTAGGTACGAATTTGCTGAACAGGCCAGCGCACTACCTCGTTATGTAGCTTATTCAAAAATAAATTGCTTGTCCAAAGTTTTCGGGGCATCTTTTACTACCCTCAAAATTATTAGTTCCCTCCAACATCCAGTTGCAGCAATCAGCTACCTCAATGAGAATGCAGCTTCTTTATAACGATTACAAGAATAACTACAACTTGTGGCGTTGCCGGCCACATGCAAGTAGCTTGAAATTCTTGATCTGTCTGTTCATAGACTGCTTAGGGAACACTTTCAACGCTTTTGTGTGACGCGAGATAGCTTGAATTGGACAAAAAGGCTGAGCCAATCTGACACTTCGAGACATCAAAGTACCTAACTGAAGACACCAGTTATCACTGCAAAATCATGTTCTTCTAGGGCCACGATCCTAAGTTCAGCCAAGCTAGGAACGATGGGATTACATCCCTCGATGTTCATCAGAGTCACTATTCGAATGAACCCAACGTCAGCAAGCCGATAACTTTGGGCGTTCTTGCACTCAATGCGCTCTTGGACTGTCGAATTGAGGCAATCAAGCTCGTCAAAGTAATCTCCTTTACGACCTAAATACGAATTGGGCTACTTAGGACCGTTGATTTTATCACGTCCATAATGGTCTTGCATATCCTTTAAGTACTTATTTCTTCCTGGTTGTCTGAGGCCTGAAGAATAGTGATGCGGCCTCGAGAGGGGGATTCCGAAGGCCAGTCGCCAAGATTTATCGCCAAACGCCATGTGGTTACAAATGCTTGTGTTGAAGTTTTAAGCATTGCGCACGTTTAGCCAAGAAACCCCTACAGCAAGAATGTCACGCATGCTGCTAAAATCTATTCTTGAGAAGATCACCAGACCCAAAGACACCTCCGTTGTCTGCGACAGTGTATCCTCAATCTGCAAGAATCCGGGGTTTTTGAATATTTGGTATTGCCGTGGAGTCAAACTTCGATGAATAATAACTTGTGCAAACCAAAAGAATGCCGAGTCGATCCAAGGCCCTGATATCTGGAAAGTCAAGGGCGTTCTTTGAGTTCATTGGGAGGTACAAATTTCAACAGTGCGTACTTTAGCTATAGGTAGTAGTAATATGAGGCCTGCTGTTCATGTTTTAGTCGTTCTCTCATAAACGCCAGGCCCCGTTAACTAAACGAGTTAATTCGCACAAGATGTCTCTTCTTCATGATTAGACTGCTTCTGACTTGTCATGTGATTGGATCTATTCGGACATAATACCCGTGCTTTGGTCAGTGCATCCTCAACGGAAGCTGAGGCAAGAGAGTCCCGCGTTGATAGACTCTCCTTGCCCACTCAGTGTGCTATGCACCATAAGACACTTTGTTATAGCATTGAATGCGTTGCAAATCACAGGTGACAGACTTAGCTGCATCGGATGGTGGTCACGGGTGTCGAAGAACGCCTCCTGGAGACTGGCGTTGAACCGAGGAAGCTATCTTCTTCACCCAATATCCAGGATCAAGAAACAGATAACAAAGCGGCCCACACTCGTTCCGCAAGTATTGGGAGGGATGTTGCATCTATTAAGGCTATGATAGACCCTTGAATCGAACATGGTTCTAGGCCATCGAAACTGATGACATGGACCACAGGAATGAACTTGGCACGCTTCAGGCTTGGCCACTTCTTAGGCAGGGGTTTTCAGAACGCAAAACGGTTTATACGATTCTCAAGGTTGACAATCTCCAAAGCCCATATGGGATGGAATCATTATGAGCATTTCTCAATGGTTAACAACCGTCATTAGACGATAGTGCGTCTTGATCAATAGCATTTTGTTGTTCTGATTCCTGGAACACGCCACCCGATAAAAAAGATCTCATCATAGGTTAAACGGCACTGAAATTCCTGTCGCTCAGAACTCGGGACAAGCGGACGTGCGATCCGTCACAAACTGTACAACCGTGCATCTAGAGCTTGTTTGGGGCTGAGGTTTTGGGGATTCAAAACTAAGCCTTCCTCCACGAGCGCTCAAGCCAGCAGATCCCCGAGCGTTGACATCTGGCCATGCGACCTGCCTGCCAAGATCACACCACTGTCAAAATAATAGTTCCAAACTCTCCCCCACATACATACGATATAGCCACAGCCCCAAGTCTGCACTCTTCGGCCCGATCTGGTTGGTTTCATGAAGTAGCTCTTCGGGCCAAGAAAGCTAACCATAGCGTTTGCGCCAAACATGCTATGTTGAGTTCGGACAGTGTTAATGAAGGTGCCGTGGTGCCCTTTGGATTCTGTCAGCTTTTAAATAGCTGCGATTCTGCATTCGACTTAACCTATAGTGGCATGGGTCTGGACTTATCTCGTATTGCCCTTCGTTTTTGATTATTTTGCTCCACATTGATTCGTTTGCCAAACAGGACCATGTGCGGAATTACAGCCAGCATCGCGCTCCAGCGGAGTGGTTCCACTAACGGAACGAACGGAATCCAACGAACTAATCGATTAAACGGACATGATAGGAACGGGCTGCGGAAGCATGAAGCTCTTCATCAGCAGCTACAGGAAAGTCTTGGTGCTATCGCTCACCGAGGCCCAGATGCCACTGGTGTCTGGATCAGTGACGAAGGCTCCATCGGTAAGATCACCCTCTTGATCGTTTGGAATAACAACTGAGACTTTGCATAGGTCTGGGTCACTGCCGCTTGGCTATTAATGATCTTTCTCCCGACGGCATTCAGCCACTACACAGCGACGATGACAAAATCCATGCCGTTGTGAACGGAGAGATTTACGACCACGACGCGATTAGAGAGCGATGCATTCGAGAGCATGGCTACAAGTTCAAGGGTCACTCTGACAGTGAGGTCTTGGTTGCTTTGTACAAGATCCATGGCGCCCCTGGTTTCTTCGAACATCTCCGTGGAGAGTTTGCATTCATTATATACGATGAGAACGACGGCCGAGTCATCGTAGCGAGAGACCGCTTTGGCATTAAACCCATGTTTTGGACTCTTCTGGGTGAGGGTGCCAGCAAGCGGATGCTCCTGACTTCAGAAATGAAGGCATTCCGAGCTTTGGGCTGGGAGCCCGAATGGAATGTCTACGGCTTAATCAGCGGCACTTCGATGCAAGCTGACAACACCGTATTCAAAGACGTTTGGAAGCTAGTCCCTGGAACTTGGATGGAGATTTCTCGAGACGGTCAAATCAACCATCATCAGTACTGGGATCCAGAGTACAGAGACAAGGTAATTCGCAATGAAGCAGGTTCAGAAAGTTCATAATGCTAATCCAGAGCAGAAACAAGTCGAAACGCGAAGCGTTGATGAAATGATTTTGGAAGTGAGGAGACGTTTGATAGAAGCAGTGAAGCTCCGGCTTCGCGCTGATGTTCCTGTCGGAATCTATCTATCTGGCGGCATCGACTCGTCCGTTGTTGCAGGCATTGCAGCCTCATTGGCCCGTGAAGAAGGTGTCAAGTTGGGCAACCAAGATGCGACCAAGCGCATCACATGTTTCACAATTCAATTCCCAGAAAGCTCAGGCTTTAATGAAGCTGGTGAGTTCGTCTCAAGTGCTGGGGCTACGGACTTTTGCTGACACCTCCCATAGACATTGCTGAACGGTCAGCTGAGTGGCTTGGTGTAGAGGTCTTGAAGAAAGACATGAACGAGGTCGAGCTAGCCAACAATTTCGAAGAGGCAGTCTACCACACAGAACACCAGACTTTTGATCTGAATAGTGTGGGCAAGTTCTGTCTGTCCACACTGCCTAGAAAGCATGGCGTGCCTGTAGTCCTTACAGGCGAAGGTGCGGATGAGCATTTTGCCGGATATCCATTCGTTCTACCAGCTTTGCTCATGGAACCGGACTTCGCATGGCCGCAGTCTGGCCTCACGCACGACACTGACACCCGTGTGGCCATGTACAAGGAGATGAATGATGATATCAACGATATGTTCCAGAGAATAGGCATGTTCGAAGACGAGTCTGCCACTGGTGCCCCCAATTCGATGCGCTTGGAGCCTGAGTGGGATGCTTTCGCGCCATGGATTCGGGACACTTACAAAGCGCCTGAGGCGGGCGCTTCGACTATTACACCCGAGGTCTTTCAGAAGATGATGACAAAGTGGCATGCCTTGCATTCTGGTCTCTACATCTATACCAAGGGGCCGCTTGCCAACATGATCCTCACTTGTTTGGGAGACCGCACGGAGATGGCACACAGCATCGAAGCACGACCGCCTTTCCTGGATCACCACCTGGTCGAGTATGTGAACGGACTGCCTCCGAGTCTCAAGGTAGCATACATTGAATCTGCCGCGCAGGCCGCCAACACTGGAGCTGGTGCCAGCCTGTGGTGGAAGGACCTGAGCCCAACACGCCAGAAACTGAGCGAGAAGTGGATTCTCAAGGAAGCCGGCAAGCCCTTCATCACACAGGAACTCTACGAGCGCAGGAAGCATCCCTATTCTGCGCCTGTCAAGTGGCCGTGTGGCGGTCCCATTCATAAGATGATGAAGAGGATAATCTGCAAGGAGAACATCGAGCAGTTGGGATTTGTGGAGTGGAACAGCGCACAGAAGTGGCTCGAAGAAGGTTTCGGCGACGATGCGAACCCTAGAGCATTCAGGAAACTGATCTGTACCGCGTCGTGGGTGGTTATCAGCCAACGGTTTGGCGTGAAGAAGGCTGCTCAAGAGCAATGGCCAAACGGCATGTAGACTTTCGATTTGTCTACTTTTCTTAAGTTTCTGTCGCAAATGGAACATTAGAATTTGGATTAGGAGTAAGAAGAGGGCAACACAGATTGCATATCACCTAGGTATCGTGGCGTTTGGTTAAATTGACTCTTTTGGAAATGGAAATGCATCACAACACCATGTCTAAGTGTTTATGATCCAAGAGACTCGCACACGGCTCCAATGGCTATCGCCTACTGCCGCTTACGGCTTCGTCCAATTGTCCTGTAAGCTGGTGTGCTATAATGGGTTCTCTTGCAGAATACCCTTAATCAACTTTCAACAGAATCCATTCATCTTCATTCGTAAATGTTGCTTTGACGAAGATCTAGCTTGATGCGTTTGCAATTAAGTGGCAAAACACTTCACTGGGCGCTTCTTGCCTTATCTCGTCTGCGAGAGCACACTCAGCTTGAATATGTCAGAATGCATTGCATGCAACACTCAAAGACCTGGTATTATTCTCCCAAATACCTTGCCCAGCCTCACGCAGAGGAGAAGCTGCGTAAGCACTCAAAGCTAGCCTGCACTATAGGCTACCTGAACTCTTCTAGTAAAACTTAAGGAAAAAGAGTCAACTGGAGCAAGCCAAGGCTCTAAACCCAAATGACAGAAAGTCCTCCAAACAATAAGAAAAATAAAAAAAACCAATCATCTCAATCAAAAAGGAGTCAGAGGTGGCGAAGCAGAGCTTTCTGCGTCTTGCTTCGCTCCACGGACCGCCAATTTGCGCCGCGCCTTATCACCAATCTGTCCACCCTTCACAATGACACTGCCATCTTTCGACCGTATCTCAAAGTCCTCAGTGGTGGTCCACTCTTTGGCTCCCGTTTTGGCCTTGATGACCTCTCTGCCAACTTGGTTCTGTACGTCTCGCCTGCCGTTCAGGAGATCGTTGCTCAATTTCGACTAGCAATTTGGTCAGCACACCAGAAGGACTCAAACCTAAGATATTTAACAGATGGTTTGTTTGGCAATCCGTCTGTTAAAAAGAAGGAAGTTTCTTACAGCTCGTTCTTTGTGGGGAGCGCTGGCAAATTTAGAGATCCAGTCGGCGCGCGTGAGTGAATGGACAAGAAGCTTGCAGTCCTAATAAAAAAATCAGCTTATATTCACCGTAAAGTTTTAGCGGTTGAACCAACAAGAAGCTGTTCGCAAATGACACTCCAACGCTCTGCAAACGTCTCAAAGAAATCCCATGTCGATGTCGTGCGTTGGCCTGACCAAAGAAGACGCATCGTAAATCCTTTTTGGGCATTCATTGCCGCCATCTTTTCAACAATCTTGTAAGTCATGTTTAATCCAAGGTGAGAAAAGGAGAGGAACCCTTACCAAGAGTCGCCAGCAGAGAATCTCAATCTCAATGTCCGTGATCGGATGATGAACAACGGCAGCAAGGCGGTCGACTGCTGAGCTCTCCGGATTCATCAACTCCCAATCTGCTTTGTTCACTCCACTAGGCCTCAGTCTCTCTGCTTGTTTGCCAGCCTTGTTCGTACGTTGGCGCTTTCGTGATGAACCTTCCTCGTCAACTAAAATGGGCCCAGAATCCTCTCCTGCTTGCTGGGCCAAGAGTGATGAAAGGCGCTCCGTCGCTTTACGAAGTTCATAAAAGTTCGTCATGTTAGTGATATTGTCAAACAGCGTTTTCACATGTTCCTTCTGCTCAACTGTAGTCGAAGGCCAAGTCGCGTCTTCAGTCGGGCTCTGTCCTGCCTTTCTCTTGACGTGCCATTCATAGGCATCGTCTACTTCCTCGAAATGCTCCATGTCTCTAATGATACCTCGGTAGGAAAAGTTGGCAGGTCTGTTCAATTCATCCGCGAGAAGTGGATGATCGTCATCCCGATGGACAGGGGCCCTCTTCTTGCGGGATGCGGATTTGTGTGGCATTGGGGCTTCGTCTTCAAGATTCTGGTTCTGAGGAAGAACTTGTATAGGGCGTTCCGGTGGAAAGACAGGACCAGGATTGTGTTCAGGCTGCTGGAAAATCTGAGATAGCTTCATGTTGGGAGCATATCCTGGGACCATCGTTCGCAAGCGACGAAGGGCTTCATCAGTCATTTCAGGGGAGTTGAAAGCCAAGTACGATATCCAAGTATGGAATCTATTGACGAATGGCCAAATTTCCAAGAAGTCGGCACGGTTGTAAAATAAAGTCGAGTAGAATTGGAGGTCTGGGAACAGGCGCGGTCCGTCATGATATCGATACGGCACAATTTCATCTGTTTTCCTTGTCAATTGCTGAAGCCAAACTTACCCATTTTTCATTTTGCTAGATTCTCGCTTTGACGTACTATGAATGATGTCCAGCATCAGCTTCTTTTGCTCGAAGGGAACAAGGATGTCCTGAAGGACACTGATGTCAGCCTGGAAGTCGATATCCATGGTAGCTGGTCTCCCTGATTGAGGAGTTGAAGAACGCAGAAGCTTTCAATGTGAAAAAGATTATGTTGAAGGAGTAGTGACCGTGGATATTGATAGAGAGAATTCGTGTCGAGACTGACGGAAGGATAAGGTAGTGAAAGAAAAGCTTCTTAAAAAGGAAAGCGCAGAAACGTTCGGTGAGTTGTGGTAGTGACTGCATCACTCCGGGATAGATTGTTTACCTCCGTCTGAACGTATTTCCTAAATGGGTGAGAAGTGATTTGATGCCGCGATTCTGAGCCACGTGTGAGAATGACCGAGTGAATTCAGCAAAGCTCCAGCTTCAGTCAGAGAAGGACTTACCATCCTAGAAGATACGAAGTCCTCACCGTCGCTGAGGAGCTTGGAAGAAAACCCGGACAAGGCTCAACTAGTTCTACTACTGAAAAACCATGGCACAATGAGGTATCATAGGTCTTCGTCTGACGCATCAATACATTTGTATTTACTTTGATCACGAGGAAGGAAGAGCTAAACGCCGAACAGCGAAACCATACATTTACAACTCGTTGGAATTGATACTTGACTCGAATGGTGATACTGAAAACCTTATCAGATAAATGTGTCTTCAGAAATAGTGATCGCTTGTGACTTCAAATCTCCCTGCCCCCTTGGATCACAAGTGTTATGGCTCTTCCGGTTGGGGTTTCTCCCAGTGAACCCTAACTTTTATCGGCATGCCTTTCATAGAAAGCTCTTTTAGTGTTGTTCCAGTATACTGTAAAATAGGGAGAAGAAATCCAACCATTACGTTGAATATTTTATCCGAAAACTACCAGCTACACAACGACGCAGGATATGTGGCAAACTAGTAACTGGGAATTGCACCAACGCAATTATACTCATATAGCATGCTGGCATGCTCAGGTGAGCAGAAATCCAAGAAAATATCCTGGGCTGATAGCGGCCACTCTGCTTTTCGTTCGCAGCAAAGCATGGGAGTGGTCAATCGATAAAAAAGTTGTCATGGAGTAGATCCTCAGATCCATTCACGAATAATGAACATGAGCTGAAATAGAACCAGAAACCTCTAAATACTTTAGAGAGAATAAACCCGGAGAAACGATACATGGCCAGTCGGCGCCCATGGAAAAAGGTTTCTGAGAACATTGTATTTATCAGGAATGCTAAACAAAAGAGAAGGCCAGTCACTACTAGTCCCCTCATTCGGAGCAAAAACTCAAGAGTAGTTATTATTTTGAACAAGCCTACTTAAAGATCAATCCAAATATCATGCTACCAGCGCAAGGCCCACGCAGCATACAGTTTTTGTTAGGTATATTCTCATTCATATGATGTGTCCCTGGATTCGCTGGTGGATGTTCCACAGCTAGCACATATACTTCTTCACATTCTGTTGTCTTTGGCTCACTTCTCACGTTCTTTCCTAATTCTTTGTTGTGCTTCCTGTTATTATGGAAGGACAGTGTCCTTGTGAATGGACAATAGCTTTGTCAGAGGGTAAGCTCAGTTGAACATGACACATCACAATGACTTTACTCGCGTTGAGAGAAATGCCAGATCAATTGTCAGGGTATCTCTGTGCCTGCTTGTGCCAGTTCCGTGGCCCAAATCCGGAAACCCTAAAGCAAACCATTTATGACCTCGCCACCAAAGACCCGAAAACGCCAGCCAGGCTGGAAGTTACACCAGCGCATCATCGCATACAGACATGAAGAGCAAGCTTTTTTTTTACCATTGGCGACGTCCGCCTCGGCCTCTGCCGCCAAAGCCGCCGCGGTTAACACCGCCCATGCCCTGCTGGTCGTAGCCGCCATACTGGCCTTGGTTTCCTCCAAAGCCACCCTGGCCAAAGTTTTGTCCCTGACCCGCCTGGCCGCCGGCGTTGGCACCCTGGCCCTGCATACCGCTAAACATGGCCGACATGGTAGCAGGATCCATCTGGCTCGGGTCCATGCCCTGGCCCATCATCTGCTGCATCATAGCCTGCATCTCAGGGGGCATGCCGTCCATGCCGGACATACCAGGCATACCGCCGCCCTGCGCACTGGCACCGCCAGCTCCTCCACCAGGCATGTTCATGCCGCCCATCATCATCATGCCAAAGTCCTCCATCATCTTCTTATTACCTGCGGCGATGGCATCGGCGTTGAACTCGCCGCGAATGGCCTCCTGCTTGGCGGCGTAGAGGGCCCAAGTGAACTCGTCGAAACCGTAGTTGAAGTAATCACTGATGTCAGTACCGGGCTTACGCCAGGGCTTTTCGTTCTCCAGAAGATCTACAGGAGGTCAGCGGGAAGTTGCCAAGTGCAAGATGAAGGAGGTTCTTACCCTCGTCAATGTTAACGGCGGTGATGGGCTTGCCAGCGGGAGGGTAAGGAGGGTTCGCGTTAACATCGATAGTCGATTTGGAGGCGGCGGCAGCAGCCTTATCTGCGCTGGGGACACCAAGAGGGAGCTCAGATGGCGAGCCACCGGGGGACTCTCCCTCCTTCTTGGCGGGGGCAGGTTTTACGGCCATGTCGTTGGAAGCAGACCTTTGTGGAATGTTTCTGATATCGCTGTATCGTGATTGTCTATTACCGTGTGAGCTGGGAAAATAATCAAAGCTTTGTGAGGGTAGAAGAAGTTCTTGACGTACGTCGGAGGTGCCGCCTTTGTGCCATCATTGCGCTCAGTGATAATATCAATGTCCTATAGAAAGAGCCGGAACAGTCAGTAACGGATATTCACAGGCACCCTTTAGGTCGATACAACAATAATAAGACACATAAAGTCTAGTTATAAACTTACTGAGTCGTCTTCGTCTTCGTCCATAGCACCACCCTCATCTTCCTCCTCGCCCTCTTCCAGCTCCTCATTCTTCGCGTCTACTTTTGGCGACGCGGCTTTGGGTGCTACATTTTCAGTTGTCGCTGTTGCTGCTGCTGTTGTTGTCGCCGTTGTTTCAGGAACAGTAGGCTCCTCGGGAGCGTAAAAATCATCGTCTTCGTCAATATCCATCTTTGCGATTCGGATGGCGCCGTATGCGTTTCGGGGGGGTAGTGATGTGAAATTCGGTAGCCTCACGTCAGAAGCGATTTCTCCAGCAGCTGCCTCAAGCTCCGGCGCAACACTGGATGTCCAGATGGAGGGCACGGGCCACGAGCAGCCTCGAGCATTGACCAATCACCGTCGCTTTCAGAAAGCTCCCATGTGGGTCACGGAGCCCGGCCAAAGTGGTCGCCGGTGGACCAATCAGCAACAGTCGCATTCTACCTGGGCAGAGACATTGGGAAGAGCTCTGCCAGCTGTAAATGGTCTGTGCACTGCAGCATCGGCCGCCAATTCTTTCGCGTTGACCGCGCTGCCAGCAACAGGAACAAATAATCTAGCCTAAATCCAAGTTCACGGTCAAGTACAGCAAAGCCATCAAACAGCTCCAGCTGCCACTTCGAGCCAGCCTCCAAGGACAACTCCGGTGGTAAAGGCTGAAAAAAACAATACCGGTTCTTCTGCATTCGACGACCTCGAGTCCCTCGGCAAGATGTCACTGTTTGGACGGTCTGCGAGTGCCACTGGCGGCGGCTTAAGCATCAACACGGGAGCTGCTAATGCTGGGTATGTCTTTTGATTTGTCGCCAGGCTTCTACAGATTTTTGTAGCTCTGATAAAGATGTGCAAAATGGAATGTCGCTGACAAAAAATCTCATGCAGTGCCGGCCCCTCGTCAACTCCCGCAGCTGGAGGCGGTCTCTTCGGAAACTCTACAGCGACGGCACAGCCTGCTACTAGTGGTGGTCTCTTTGGTGGTACTCAGGCAAGCAGCGGAGGACTCTTCGGAAAGAAGCCCTCTACACCTGCAACCGGTGGATTGTTCGGTTCGGCGGCGACAGCATCTCAGCCTCAACAACAACAACAACAATCAGGAGGATTGTTCGGTCAGCAAAACACGACGGCTCAGACAGGCACCAGCGGAGGGCTTTTTGGATCGGCTGCTCAACAGCCAGCCCAGCAGCAAAATCAGCAGCAGAGCGGAGGCTTGTTTGGCGCAGCTCAGCAGAAGCCCGCAACGGGCGGCCTTTTCGGCCAAAGCACGGCACAGCCTCAGCAGCAGTCGACGGGAGGACTCTTTGGTGGCGGCAACACGCAACCTCAGCAAAATCAGCAGCAGAGTGGAGGTCTTTTCGGCCAGAGCCAAGCTCAGAACCAAGCCAAGCCCGGTGGTCTCTTGTAAGTGGCCCTCGTCCGAATGCTCAAGCACAAGCTAACATGCTTCAGCGGTGCATCAACCCAGCAGCAGAACAACACAGCTCCCGGCCTGACTATGGGTCAGTCGACCACGCAGCAAACTGTTCCCGGCGTGAGGGTAGATATTTCTAACGTCAAGGGCACGACTCGGTTCAACGACCTCGAACAGTCCTTGCAGACTGAGATGGAGAACTGCGACCTAATGATCCAGCGCTTCATGTCGCACGCCTCTGAGATTAAAGGCTTCATGGCTGCGCACGGCGGCGATCTCGAGCAGCTCACCAACGACGTCAACTGGCTTCAGAGAAAGTACGAGGGCGTCAAGACGACCCTGGACGAGGATATCGTTACTCTGGCACATCTGAAGGATCTCGTCAAGTCAGACGCCGACATCGCAAAGATGGCGTTTGCCGGTGCTGACCAGCTCAAACTTCCCGCTCACTACCACCAAACCTGGCTTACCCGTGGCGGATCCGGCGGTAACGCGCCGAACAGCTCTCAGGACCGCAACTTGGAGGACGTCCTCACGCTGTTCTCCAACGAGGCTGACAGGCTAAAGGAGCTTCACCAGTTCCAGGTTCAGAAGATCAAGGAGATGGAGCAGCACATGCCCGGTGTTGAGCACGGTCTTTACGAGCGAGTGCGAGCTCTCCGGGACCAGACACAGGTTCCCGCCTTCAACATGGTTCTCGATCTTTTGGAGACGATCAAGATGATGGGCGACAAGATTTACGAGGCGGCAGGCAGCATCGTTGACGTCCGTGAGAAGCTTACCCAGCTTCAGCGCCAATACCCCACCAAATGAGGAGAGCAATCGGCAAGATGGACTTAAGTAATGATGAGGCCCGGGCAGTGGCGCCAGAGAAGCTCGGCGGATGGCTCATAGGAAGCATATGGCGTTCAGGATGGGCAAAAAGTATATATGTATACCGGGAAAATTGGCAAAATCATAACGTGGCCAAATCTCAGACACGCTGTAATTCGTTTGAGAATCAGCTCCTGAGCTATTCATGGTCCCTGCCAGACCTTGGATATGAAGCCTGGTCGGCTGCGAGGTGGATGATTTGGCAGTCAAAAGCTACATACACTACTAGCTTGTGTCGGGTCAAGTTTCTTCAGGGGCAGTCTAGCGGACTCGGGGCACGAGGCCAAATTGAGATATAATGAAGAGGCTGAAGACCAGGAATCGTCCTGTTGTACAAGAGATAGAGCACAGCACGGCGGCACATGCCGTTGATACCCAATGTCAGCGACTTCTGACTCACAAGTAAAACATCGGGACAGCAGACGAACCAAAAAAGAAGAAAAAAAAAAAAAAAAAAAAAAGTGAAATGCAAATGCGCTTGTGTCTTTGTTATATATAGATGGGTATCTGGGAGCTATATTCCGCTCAGCAAAGCCGTTCATCCGCCCAACGCCTGGTATGCTACTCCTCATGTCTCGTGAGGTAGGCAAAGGCCTCTCTGCAGATCCTTCCGCCTTCGCCACACCCCTTCGTTTCCTTTTCGGCATTTTAGAAAATATAGCCGTGGGTGACTTTTTGTTTTTGTTTGACTCGAATTTTTTTCATCCACCACATGTAACGTACGAGCAGGCTCGTCCTCGGGAGGCCCAAGCTCGACGTCTCACGCCCTTACGATCAGTACGACCCTTCTCGGCCGCCGTGATCATCATCTCCACCATCGTCGTCGCCGAACTCGCCGTCGTCAAAGTAGTTCTCGGCGTCGTAGTCACCGGCATCCTCGTCGTCGTATTCCACATCCTGCTCCTCTTCCTCAGCACCCTCTTCCCATTCTTCCTCTACACCCTCGCCTTCGCCCTCGGGAATACGTTCGAGTGCCTCCAAAGTCTTCTTGGCACCGTCGGGACCAATCTCCTCATGCTCATTCATCTGGAATACGTCCTCGGCCGTAGGCAACGCCGTGATCTTGGACAGCCGTAACCTCTTGGCCTCGCCGCCTCGCCTCTTTTCTCCAGGCGCAACGTCGTCGCCGTCGAGAGTCGGGTGAAGCTCCTTGGGGAAGAACTCCTTGCAGAAGGGCCGTCCACCGAATTCAGGGAGCGCCCTCTCTTCGCGGGTGAACTTTTGAGAATACGTCTGTACGCCCGTGAATGGGTCTGCCGTCGCCCGCGTACGCACGCCGTACTTGGCATTCACCTGATCCTGGCCGTAGAGCTTCCTCGTGTTCATGGGGTCCATTCCCCAGGTGCGCTTACGGGTGTACAAGGGGCCGTCCTGGAACTGGCGGCGGAAGAGGAGGAAGGCGTTGACGTTTGCCTGTTCGAGATCGGAGAGGGGCCTTGCGGTTGGAACGTTGTATTGCTGGGGGGCGCTTGTCAGCATCGTTCGAGACAGCAAAGGACAGACAATTAGGTAATAAGACGTACAGGGAAGAGCTCCGAGGGTCTCGTGTCGGGCGCGTGTTCGCCATTGTCCCATGGCAGCTGAGGTCCCGTCCGGCCGCCGCGCCCGCCTCGTCCTCCGCCTCGTCCGCCTCGAGACATGACCTTGGTGACTTCTCTTTATATCGAATGTGTGTATTAATAATTTGGAAAGCGATTGTATATGGCGGTAAGTCGTAAGGTCAACCTGCAAAGGTAAAATGCGAAGATGATTTGTGAGTCGAGCGTGGTCGGCAAAAAAGAGTCAGTATCGCTTCAAACGGCGCGGTTGGCGCCGAATTGAGCCTCTAATTTTTTAGCGGAGTCATTCGGAGAACCGTGCTGTCTGATTGGGTGGATTGGCATTGCGGTATTGTTCAGTGAGCACCTCGCGGAATTTGCAATTTTTCTGATTTGCAGGGGAGCAATTCAAAAAAGCGAATAGGAATCACATGAGCGTTTATTCACTGTTCCACTGTTTGTCTTTTAAAAGCTGTATTTGAATAGCTTTTCAGCAGTCCCTTCATTCTCTCACACCAATACTCTGTTGCGCTTGCTGATTCTTTATCCAGCCACGATATTCAGGTACAATAGCGGGGTCAATTCCGCCCGCACACCACCGCTTCAACCTCTCCCCTCAGCGGACGCCACGCTGCCCCGCCTACCTGCAGCCCCTGTAAGGCACCCAAGAAACAACGTACCCCAGCACACGTAGCTCTGGCAGCCTATCTTATCTTAGCGTCTGGGGACCCTTAACCCGAAGCTCCCCCCTCCCCCCGCCATTCGCATGCTGCTGTGATCACCAACAGCTTCGCCAGGGTAACATCACCGGCTTCGCGAGCTTCGCCCTCGACATTACAACTTATTATTCGAGCCACCAACAAACTCAGATGACGGGAAACATCGTGCCAAAAATGTCTGCCGATTCTATCCCTATATCCGGTCTCGACGAGCTCGTCAAGCACCTCGATGACCTCGTCGAAGCCCCCGAGACGCCCCTCCAACCGAAGCTCCTGGATGACGTCGAGCTCCAGCTGACGGGTAAGTTTTTCTCTTCATTCTCATTCAACCTACTATCTTAATCCTCAAATTTCAGACGAATACTAATATGGAGTAGAATCAAACATTCCGCCGCTACTCCCAAACCTGCTCCCAAAATTGACGACAATCCTCAAAACGACCCCCCACGATCCCTCCCCCATCGTCTCCCTGACGATCAAACTCCTCTCCCCCGTCCCTTTCACTCAGACGCTCCAACTGGCAGACGAGGCCTCCCTCATAACCGCTCTCCGCTCCCCAGCCGCCTCCGCGAACCTCCTCGCCCTCGCCATCCTCGAAAAGGCAGCCGCGGCCCCCTCCGATGCCGCAATCCTCTCCCTCATGCCCCGCGTCGTCGAGGAGCTTCTGAGAAGATGGCTCTCCGCCCCGCAAGTCGAAGTCGGCGAGAAGGCCTCCCGAGTGCTCGGCGACGTGCTAGAGACAGACTGCGAGCTCCCGCCGCCCAGCGCATTGCCGAACCTGGGATCCGAGGTAGTCAGGAGACGGGCTCCGGGACAAGGACGCATGTGGCGGCGTATTTTCCACGATAAAGAAATGTTCGGCCTTGTCCTATCCCTCGCCAAGGGCCAGGACCCGGCCGAGGAAGAAAAGTTGTCCGAACACCAGCTCTCCCTGGCGCAGGGCCGCATCCTCCGAATTCTCCCGCGCCTGGCCTCGCTTAACATTGTCGAGATAAGCACGTCGCAGTTCCCTGACCTTACAGGGTCTAACGAGGTCGGGCTGTTGCAGCTCGCCGCGTTAAAGATGGTGGATATGTCGGACACGCTGATGCACCTGAGTCTGATTGACTTTTTCGAGACGCTGGTCTCAGTCATGCGGGTGGCGGAGCAGTCGCACCGCACGATGGGCATTCTCAGGGACTTGGTGAGGCAAGCGACGAAGGACGACGACATGCTCAAGTCGGCGCTGTTGAGCTTGCCGGATCGGACGGTGCCGGAGGAGGAGGAGCAGTTGAGAACCTTCATTCGGGACGTCATGTCGGCGAGGGGTTAGTTCAGTTAGCTGGAAAAAAAAAAAGAGAAAATGTATCAACACACACACACACACAATGCAAGGCGTTTCGGAAAGCATGTAGGGAGAATTAAGTAGCTGCTGGCTGGAAAAACATGAACACGGGCGCAGAAGGAAAAGGGGCTGAGGCAAGCGATGGATGGATGAAGAAAAAGAAAATGTTCAATATGGACACGAACTGCGAAAGGCCTCGGCGATCCGAGCCGGGTTCAATAATTTTACATGAAATGATTCCCTCCCCCCCCTTCAATCTATCCCATTACGCCACCCCGTCTGTTGCTTGCACCACTTTTTTCGTGTTTCTAGGAGGCCTAACGCCTCATTCTAGCTGATGCATCGCCCTCGGGCCCGTCGACCGTGTTGTCCGTTGCGTGGCTCAGGATGCTATCCCTGCGATCAATGCCGATGCGGGTCATGCCTTCAATTCCAAGACCGACCTCGCCGACGCGCCTTAACACCAGGAGCAGGGCTGCCCGGAGGTCTGAGGTCAGGTCCTTGCCGAGAAGCTCCACGACCATGGGGTAAAACTCTTTGATGTTCTTCGAGAATGCCTCCACCGGGAACGCGGCGTAACCCTCGAGAACGTCGACAACGACGGGCCTCCAGGCAACAATATTACGGTGCTGACTGTCCTCCTCGAGACCGACGAAGTCCTTGATGATACTCTTGCAAAGGGGAATCAAGGCCTGCTCGATGGCATCGCGTGCCGACGCGCGTTCGGCACTGTCGTCTGCGTACATGCGGAAGAGGATGGAGACGTAAGTAGCGGCGGCACCGCTCTCCTGCTTGAGCAGATTGGGAGCCTGCTTCATGAAGCCCTCGCGCCACAGACGCATTCGTAACTCCTTGTCGGCGTTGAATTTTCGGGCGAAGAGGTATGACTTCTTAAGCAAGCTCATGAGCCTGAGAAGCTCAGCTGTGGGGATCTGAGAGTACACTGTGTCGTTGCTAAAGAGCTCGTTGACGGTCTCAATCATGAGCAGCTGAAGTACGCATCTAGAGATGATGCGGTTGAAGTAGCGGCGACGGGCAGCAGTGACGACAACGGGCTGTTGTTGAAGGTTCGACGTCGGCTTGAACTCCTCCAGCGGCGCTGGTGGGTGGGCCGGGCCTGTCGCTGTCGGCGTCTTCAGGTCGTCGTCGTCGACTGTTCCTACAGGCGCCGTTATGGAGTTGGAGTCGGCACTGTCGCCGTTCTTCTCAGATCCGTTGATCTTCAAAGAATCTTCGTCGACCGGGGTGGCGTCAGTTGTCGGGCTCAAAGGGCCGGCGAAATCAAGGCCGTTAGGCGGCATGTCGATAGAGGCTGTCGAGTTAATGGTGGTGGCCGAGAAAAGTTGGTGAGCGGTTGTGCGGGCAAATAGCTCGCAGAAAGCACCCACGATCTTGGACCAGTGGTCGCCAGAAAACTTGGTGACGTTCTTGAGGATGAGCTGCTGCAAACAATTGCTGCCGATTCTAGATATCGTGTCATTTTCTTGGCAGATACAAAGAGCCAGCAACTCCAGGAAGCGGTCGAGCATGTACTCCAAAGCAGCGAAATAATGCGTGAAAAGGGTGATCATGTTTCGCAGGGCCTGGATCATGGTCGTTGACAACCACACGGACAGCTCCTCGTGGTTCAGCGCATTATTCAAGTCTGGCCTCGATCGCAACACCATGAAAATAGGATACAGCTGCTGGCGCCAGAGAATGTCCCAAAAGTCGGGCGGGAACTCGCCACCATATCGGAGCAGAGCCTCAAAGAAGTATTCGAGGGCGTTGGATCGCACCTCAAGATCCTCGCCCGTCATTAACACGTCGTGGAAAGCAAACAGGACTGGGAACCAATAGCCTTCCTCCACCGACGTCCGGTTCTGTGATCTTTGTAGCTTATCTGCTGCAGAGGTGTGGTTCTCTCCAGACGAGGCCTGGCCCTTCTGGGATAGAGGGCACTCTGGGGTCTTGAGCATGCGTGGGATGATCGACTTCAGGCTCTCGAGCGCCTGGAGACTCTTCTTCTGGAACTTCATGTTCTTGGAAAATTCCGTGAGACAGACAATGAGATCGGTAAATGCACCTTGCGAGATAACCACACCGAACTTGGTCTTGTAGACCTGGGTGACGTTTTCGTAAGCGAGGTTCACGATGCTCTCGTTCGTCTCACGAGCGGCAACGGTAAAGACGCCAAACATCGTCCTCCAGCCTGAGCGAATATTATCGCCCCTAGCTTGAATCATTTGAATCAAGCATCTAAGGACCATATCCTTGACGGCAATGTTCTGGGAGTTCGCCAGAACGTGCTCGAACGGCTTGAGGAAATCTTTCTGGAACTTGAAACCGGCCAACTCTTCGAGCTCCATGAAACGCATCGAAAGCTGACGAAGCGAATCAAGGGCGAAGAAGACGATCGTGATGTTGTTGTGGCAACCCACACGGTTGAAGTGGTTTCCAAAGACATCCCAGATGTTGCTCCACTCGAAACGCACACGCGTCATGTTGTAGTAGGCAATCTCGACAATCTTTTGCAGACTGTATGTGCGAGGGGAGTCGTTTGATCCGGAGACCTTGATTTCATCCCAGCTCACTTCAGTCAGAGCGCGAGCAAAGTGCACGATGGCCTCTCCATTAAGGTTGCCAGTGTTTGTAAATATCCTGTCGACCGCCTTGATCACCTCGTCAGACCGACTTTCCAAAGCAATCTCGCTCGAGAATCCTTGGGGCCCAGTTCCAGACCTGCGACGGCCGCCTCGTCGCTTAGATTGTGCCGATGATCGGGAATCACTAGTGTTTTCTCTCTGAGGTGGCATGAAGCGGGCCTTGGAAACGTCTGGAACAACACTCTCGTCGACACCGCCAGTGATGAGCTGCAGTCGGTCAAGCTGGCTGATGCACATGAGCACATCCTTCCACGACGACCTAAGAACGTCGCCCTCGGTCTGGCCAAGCTCGAGGATCACTTTGAGTGCCTCGACGTTCTTGGCCAGCATCTCCTGCGGGTTGTTGAGGTTGGTGGTATTCCTCAGTGCGGAGATGAAGGCTTCTCGGGGAGTAGACAGATCAAAGACGCATGCAATCTTGGTTGCCAGCTTCATTCCTTCGAGGCACAGCTTGTTGATCTCGAGATTATGAGTCTTTTGCATTTGGCTCGACAGCGCCGAAAAGTAGGACATCCATGTCACGTCGAACATGGGTCCGATGTGCTGGAAGGACGTGGCGGGGATGAACTTGATGCCGGATCGCTGCGCATTTCTTCGCTGGTTCTTGTACAGGGTCTTGAATAGCTGTTCTGAACGCAGAGAGATTTCTTCAGATTGCTGCAAGTAAGCCTCTCTTTGGAGATCTCGGCCCATGTTGGAAAGGGCCTGGCCTAGGCCAGCGGCAATTCCGGTTGATGGTGCCGGGACGCTTCCGGCTGCCGCCGCGGCCTCACGTTCACTCTTGAGAACGATTTCGTTGCTGGCAATTTCGTCGTAGATGCCGAGTAGATACTCGTCCGGAAGATCAGCATTATCGTTGATTCCGCGGTTGTTCTTGATGAACTCTTCCTTGCTCATGCGCTTGGCAATCTTGCTACTGTGCAAATCAGTATTGAGCATAATGACAGAGTATGCCAAGACGTAGGCGGTGTCGGCATTGGCAAATGCATTAGGATTGCCCATCACATATCTGTTGGCGAATTTAAGCATGAAACGATCAATCTTCTGCGCTTCTCCTGGAAGACGGAATGACTGTAGGAATGTGCGCAGCGCATCAACGAATCGCTTCTTGGTGAAGTCCATGGAGTCGACAAAAGCGTGCATGATCTCAATGTTTTTCGGATCACCTTCACCCAAGTATTCACCGATCTGAGCTTTATCCAAACGATCTTCCGCGAGAAGGAACTTGGCGATGTCTTCGGGGCTATCACTTGGAATGAAACCATCCTGAACCAACAGCTTGACTCCTCTTTTAGGCTTGAAGTTGAACTGCTTGATTGCGTTGTTCATGGCTGTCTTCCTCGCCTTCGCCTTCTCCAGGAAAGCTGGGTCGTCTTCCAAGACAGGTGTTGAGGGCAGCGGAGTTTCAAAACGGGAGGGGTTGTCACTCATGCTGGGGTCAATGGACGGCCGAATGTCTTCGGAGGTCCTGGTATCGCCATCTGGCCTGACTCCGTTTGCGTCTGCACGCACCGCGGCAGACCAGTCAACCATTGACCTCAGCGAGTCCACCAGGGCGTCCAACGCCACCCGCTTCATCACGTACTCCTTGGGAATCTCAGGCTCGGGCTCCGTATGCGGCGCAATCTGCGCTACAGACAATGGTGGTGGCAAGATGGGCCGGAGCTGCCATTCGCCTCCACCGGGGCTCTTGGAGCTCTTCTCTTCGTATTGTTGCTCCTGTAAAGGTGTTACAGGCACAGGTGCCGTTGAAAACTTTGAAAGGTCCTCAATAATGGTCTGGAAGATGTTGTCGACGCTGCGCTCGCAGTCGTAGTTGAGATATGTCTCAACCAAAGCCCTAGAGTCTGCGCAAAATCGGTTCAAGACGTTAACCACATACACCTTCTGCGTAATGGGAGCTGTCCTCCTCGCCAACAAGGCAAGATAGATTTCGTTCAGGAACACTGCGATTTCCAGCTGAACACACTATTAGTATGAATTCCGTATGAAACCGGATGGGGGAACACCAACCTTGAAGGACTCCCTCATGTACTTCAACATGAGCCAGAAGATTTCGCAACAGACGTCAAACACACGGTCAACAGAGCTAGCTCCGTTTCGCGTTATACTAAGGCACAGATAGAATTTGATGGCTTGAAGAAAGGTCGTAGGCTCGTTGCTCTTGGAGTTGGTGATGGTACACAATGGAGAAGTGAAGACGGCAATGTTGTTGTTAAGGAGTGTGTGAATAAGGTGAAGGGAAATGAGCTTTGAGCGCATTGGTTGCCCACGAGGATCGTAAAGCTGATCTGGCGGCAAAACCTTTGTAGAAAGGTTGCAGAATGACCTGAACACTAGGTAGGCATCCTTAATGTATACCTCGTCCTCAGCATCGAGTGCCTCGGCACTGTCTTCTGAGGATGATTCGGGCGAGGACTGCTCGGATACTGATCGTGCCGCCTTCCTTCCAGGCTTAATCTCGGTGACCATTGTTGGCCCATCGCCAAGATGGGAGTCGTCGAAGCTCTTGCGATGCTCCAGGTCCTTCAGCGTAAGCTTGCCGTTGCCGTTCTCTGCGCTCCCTGGCGGTGCCTGCTCGGAGGCGGCTGGGGTAAGGGTTTCCTCTGGTTCCTCCTCGCCGTCACCGTTACCGGCGGGGACAGCCCCCCCATTGACCGACTCGGCCTGCTCAAAGGTGACGTTGCTCGAGCTGTGCTTCAACTTGTCCAAGTTGACCCGAGACTCCTTCATATGTAAGCGTGTCTTGACTCGTTCGAAAACAGTGCCGACCATCTGGGTCAGAGTACCCTGAGCCATTTGCTGGTTCGCAGTGCTCCGTGAAAGGAGGAAGACATTGTATACTTGGCGGACAGCCTTGAGTAGGCCGGCGCCATGGACGACAATCTTGTCATTTAGAACAGCTGCCAAGAGTGACTTGACAATCTGGAGCTGGACCTCGACAGCAGTAGTCTCGCCCTGGAAGCAATCGCAGATGGTGTCAATTGCCCGCTCGATGAGGGGAGCTCGATCGGCAGGGGCATCTTGTTGGCCTTCCGGTGTGCTCGGGACGGAGAAATACGAGTAGGATATGAGCTTGCCGATGCAGTCGAGTGCGCCGGTGATGAGCTGGACGTTGCCAGTACGTGTTGCCAGCTGTAGAGGGGCGAAGACGATCTCGGGATCCGGAAAATTCGGGTCGCTTTCCTTGATGGCGGCGAGGGTCTTTTGGAGGGATTCGGTAAGTTGCTTGTTCCTCTGAGCCTCTTTGGAAGCGGCGATAGCCTCCAAAGAGGAGACGAGGAATTTGAGGGAGCTCATGGGGGAGCGCTGGAAACACCAAGTGCCATTCGCGATTCGAAGTCGAAGTGGTTGTGATCAGGGGAGGAAGTTCTGGCCGATCTACTTCAGCAAAAGCATCTATAGGTAAGCAATAGCTAGGCTGGTCATCGAGGGGCGCATGCGCATATGCAGGGCGACGGTAGAGCAGGGGGGGTTCGTATTAAGGTGAGGTATTCGTGGGAAGACAAGATTTGTCTAGCTGTCGTCTTTTTTTACTTCGTCTCTCTTTCTCTGAGAGATACTAATGACGGCATAAAAATCGACAAACGACAGGCCGTACGATCAACGTGGTATAGGGGAAATTCCGTCGTCGGCCGAAGGATCGTGGAGGTTTGTCGTTCGAAATGGAGACAGAGTAGCTCTACAGTTCTGGTTCGAAAGGGTCCTCGAAATGGACAGCACAAGGCAGTGACGGTCCAAATTTCTTTGAATGGAGGGACCCCTGGCTCTAGCATGGGCAAATGCACTGGAAGTACGGAGTACTGGTAGGCTCGCTACCTGTAATAGGTAGCAGTAGCTGGGTGCTGGTGGATGGATCCCTGGTGCACGGGGAGGCAGCTGCACTGTGTCGTATTTGCAGCCGGGAGTACGGGAGGCCACCTGGTCCGAACACTGTATGTGGACCACAAGCAACACCGTGGCCTGTCTCCATCACTAATGTAGCTGCTGCAAGCTGGAGCCTGGGGATCCGGTTTAGCATGTGGTTTACGTGGCGGACTGGGCCAGGGAGGGAGACAGGGCTTGACGGATTATGTCAGCTTCGATGCACGGACCACAGGCAATGACGAGGATGAACTGGGAATAAAAAAAACGATGGGACAAAGGAAAAAAAAAAGAAAAAAAAAAAAAGAGGGAAAACAAAAGCTGAGGTAATCAGCGCATGGACCAGCTAAACCATCCAACACCACATCTCGCGCCTCGTCGCGTTTGCGCTTAGAAGCGGCCACTTTAGCCAATTGAGTCAATGAAAACTCAATTAAACCAATTAATGGGGCGGCCCACCAACTGAAACCCCCACTCTGGCCAGAGCTCAACGGTCCTCATTGGTAGGAAGAAATTCCTTATTTTCCCGGACTATTCCCACTCAAGTCCGAGAACTCCCTCAAGTCACTTTGCTCGGTCAATAACAACACCGTGACTGCGGACCCGGTTGGCTGGGCGTACCGGCCATCGGCCACAATTGTCGGCGAAACCTGTCCAACTGCCAGTGCCAGTGACACCCCCCTCCAGGCCATTCAGGCCACAAAGACAAAGCCCAGACCTTTTTTTCAGCACCCCCCTAGCCAGTCCTGTCTCTTCAACCAGCACACCGGCCACTCATTCTCACTAAAAGATTGAACCCCTTCAGCGGCCCACCCGCTATCGTTATTTTTTTGTTTTATTTTTTTTCTGTGCAGTGCACCCGCGCCCTCACAGCTAACGGCTCTCTCTCCCTGCGGCGTATTTTGTAGGGACGCGCTAAGCCTGATTTGGGACTAGCGCCCCAAGCTCCATCCAGCGACGGAGCTCAACGCAAAAAACTCCAGCCCCAAGAAAGATTCCCGTCCGACAATCTCGAGCATCAACCTCGCCGTCCCAAAAATAATCCCGCGTCGTCGCCTCTTCCATTCCCTTTTCCCTCCTCTTTTCCTCGTCTCGCCAATTCGTCTAGCAATTGCCTTCGGCTTCAATTGTTCGACGTACGACGGTCCAAACGAGTGTTAAAGGAGCCGCCGATAGTAATTCGACACTCCTCTCCCCCCAAAAAAAACCTCCGTACTTTTCGTCAGATTCTCCCTGCTTTCGCGCCCGCGAAAGCCATTCCATCAATATGATCACCACGGTCCTCAGACGGCGCGTGCTGCCCCAGACGCTCCTCCGCAGCAACCTCTCTTCCCAGATTCTGAGATGTTACGCCTCTTATCCCCCGCACACCGTCATTAAGATGCCCGCTCTGTCGCCTACCATGACGGCGGGAAATATCGGAGCTTGGCAGAAGAAGCCCGGTGACAGCATCGCTCCTGGTGATGTCCTGGTCGAGATCGAGACGGACAAGGCCCAGATGGACTTCGAGTTCCAGGAGGAGGGTGTTATCGCCAAGATCCTCAAGGAGGCCGGCGAGAAGGACGTCGCTGTCGGTAACGTATGTCTAAACCCCCGGTGGTGTTGGTATCCTCCGACGTCGCCGCCGCCGTCGTTATCATCATGCCATATTCGGCTTGTAAACTGATCGCTTTTTTTTCTTTCCTACAGCCCATTGCTGTCCTCGTCGATGAGGGCACCGATGTTTCCGCTTTCGAGGGCTTCACTGCCGCCGACGCCGGTGGTGATGCCGCTAAGCCCGCACCCAAGGAGGAGGCCAAGGAGGAATCCAAGTCCGCTCCCGCCCCTGCCCCCGAACCCCAGACCAGCCCCGAGGACTTCAACCAGCCCAGCGGCAAGCTCGAGTCTGCTCTCGAGCGTGAGCCCAACGCCACCTTCGGTGCCGTGAGACTCGCCAAGGAGAAGGGCCTCAACATCCGCGACATCAAGGGCACTGGCAGCGGCGGCAAGATCACCGAGGAGGACGTCAAGAAGGCCGTCTCCTCCCCCACCGTCTCTGCTGCCACCCCCGGCTCTGCTTACGAGGACATTCCCATCAGCGGCATGCGCAAGACCATTGCCTCCCGCCTCCAGGAGTCCACCCAGAACAACCCCCACTTCTACGTCTCCAGCAGCATCTCCGTTAGCAAGCTTCTCAAGCTCCGCCAGGCCCTGAACAGCACCGCCGACGGCAAGTACAAGCTGTCCGTCAACGACTTCCTCATCAAGGCCATCGGTGTCGCCTCCAAGAAGGTTCCCCAGGCCAACTCCAGCTGGCGCGGCGATGTCATCCGCCAGCACAACACCGTCGACGTTTCCGTCGCCGTCTCCACCCCCACCGGCCTGATCACCCCCATTGTCACCGGTGTCGAGGCCCGCGGCCTCGAGGGCATCTCCTCCGAGGTCAAGAAGCTCGCCAAGCTCGCCCGCGACGGCAAGCTGAAGCCTGAGCAGTACCAGGGCGGCTCCATCTCCATCTCCAACATGGGCATGAACGACGCCGTCGACAACTTCACCGCCGTCATCAACCCTCCCCAGTCCACCATCCTCGCCATCGGCACCACCAAGAAGGTCGCTGTTCCCTCCGTTACCGAGGACGGCGCCACCGGCGTTGAGTGGGACGACCAGATCACCATCACCGGCAGCTTCGACCACAAGGTCGTCGACGGCGCCGTCGGTGCTGAGTTCCTCAAGGAGCTGAAGAAGGTCCTCGAGAACCCCCTCGAGCTCCTCTTGTAAATTGGGAAGGCGAGAACGAGTTGCGTGATCGTGGCGGAGGCTTGACGAGTTTTAAGGCGTATCCGGCGTGGGAATTATAGACGTTCAGGCCGAGGATACGACCTGTGGTTTTGCGAAGGGAGGAAGCAGAGCGGAGGGCAGTGAAAGACAGCTGCGGAAGCCCGCAGCACGACGTGCTGGGGCCTCGGGCGGCGGAACGACGACCTACCACAACCTACTTCCCGTGTACAATGATCTCCTGACTAATGCTGCATCTCGGGTGCGGAAGAGGTTTCTGTCTTGTACATTTGGTCTCTTTTTCCTTATTTACCTAGAAATCAAGCAGTTACCTTTGTCCCAATCCATATAAATATCCCATCTTGGTGTCTGTATTGCCAATCTTGTGACAAACATGGAGTAAGGAGGAATGTAGTTTGTCAGACTAGCCGCAAACGGTCTCGAGACTTGATGGCTCATTGACATGTGGTGTCCGCGGTCTAACACGTGGGACTGCCCAGTCCGAAAGTGATAGCGTGAGCTTACCCTGAGGGACAAGCAGGGGAAGATATTATGCTACCCATAATATGCTGGCAACCCTCCTTCGGAATTCCATACCTGACATTATTCTTGATTTCCTTTCTTTTGCCTCCACCCTAAGATACATGGGAATTAAACATGCGGTCGTTAATACAGTCCTTATCTTGTATTACTCTATATGCTCTAATTCCACAGCCCCGAGTTGAATATTTTCCATCTTCATATATATCATATTAGTCTTTCCTGTCAACTTCCCTAGCCCCTTTTTATACCCAAACTTCTCATATACTCAAACCTTACCAAACACGCCCTGAGGCGTAAACGCTTTCGCAAGCACAACCAACACAGCTCCCGCCATACACATGGCGCCGCTGAAGATCGAGACCTGCTCGAAGCTGCCATACCTATCGAACAATGACCCCGTGACAGGCGGCCCCATAAGTGCCGCAAAGGACGCTAAAGCCGTGCCCATGCCCAGGTATGTTCCCATATCCCGTACATCCTTGGGACACAACGTCATCGCGACGGCGCCGCCCGAGATGATGGCCCCGGAGCAGAAACCAAATAAGACCGAAAAGGCAATTATACCACTCTGAGTCGTGGCCTCTGGCCAGCAGAAGATCATGATGGCCGTTGATGTGCCGGCGAAGAGTAGCGCATTGAGCTGGCCGACCTTATCGCCCATGATCCCTGGCAGGATGCGCCCGAAGATGGAGGCGGCATTGATCATTGCCACGAGGTACGAGGCCAATGACTCAGACATGCCGTGGTAAATGCCGTACGTCGGCAGGTAGAACAAGGGGACGAACATGCCGATGAAGAGGAAGAACAACGACGGGATCAGCGTGACGTAGAGCTTATCCTTGAAGGCCGACAGCAGGAGGAAGTTGGTCTGGCGAGGCGGAAGGCGGGCCTTCACGGTAAACAAGCTGAAGATGATGGCCGGCACCATGATGAAGCCCGTGATGCGTACAGACCAGCCGAAGCCGATTGAGGAGTCGTTGAGTAGTTTGGAGAGCACGATAGGATAGATGATGGCTCCGATGGAGGAACCCGTCATGGCGAGCCCCATCGCCACGCCGCGGCGCTTGCGGAAGTATTGCGGTGTCGCTGCCATGGCCGAGAACATCAGGATGCCGGAGGACGTGCCGTGAAGGATGCCCTGCGCCAGCATGAACTGCCAGTACTCCTTGCACAGCGAGGTCATCATGATGGCGAACAGGTAGACGACGGCCGCTGGACGGATGACCTGTACCTGTTTGTTAGCGACGTATACTTTGAAAGGTTCAGGGACGAACTCACCCAGGCACCGTATCGGTCGAACAGCGGACCTCCGACTATCGCCGCGAATAAGCCCAGGAAGGCCTGTGTTGAGCCGATCCAGGAGATGGCGTCCGCTGACTTGTCCGAGAACTGATGAAGGGTGTAGTAGGCTTGGAAAACGCCGAAGGTGTTGGAGTATCCTGTGGTGCAAAACAGAACGCAGGCATTTCCTATCGCTACAAGCCACGCTTGTCGACCTCCTTCGGGGAAGGTTATGTCGTCCTGGGATTTTGCTGGCATGTCCTCCGCCACGGCCGGCCCTGGGGTAGCCTTTTCAGGATCTACCTGCTGCATCGAGATGGTTGCTTGACTGGAACTGCTCATGATGTCGTTATTAACTATTGATCAAGATTCTTCTGTGACTTGAACTTCTTGCTAGGTAGAGATATTCCGGCTATTCTATCCCTACTGCCTTGACAAACAAAACATTCTGACATTGCGATCGCTGATGCCGTCTTATATACAGAACCTTCATGTAGAGATTCATCTTGTGGGCCTCTTAGTTTCATTACAAATATCTCTCGAACATGATGAAAATTCGCGTCTAGAGCTGTGGGATGAGCTTCTAGCTTCGGGTGTGAAGGGAATCCTTCTCGGGGTATCGTGTAAGTCGGCATATTCCACTCGGCATTTCCAAGACCGTACCATTAACCAATCAGAGCCTACAAAACCTCGGTGTATGGCCGGCGGGTTGACCCACAAGCGCAGAAATACCGACCGCATCTCGGGGATAAGCAGCCATTTCACCTCTCTTACAACGCCAGCAACCGACTTTTCTCTGTCAACAACCCATTCTTATCTGATCATCTGATAAAAAAGATACTTTCTGAGTCACTTCAAGTCTCCGATAATTTCCATCTAACGTGCCAGGCAACAGTCTTTCTCTGCCTGAATTCAGGGATCGGGGTGAGATTTCGGGCTCAGACAAAAAGCCGAGCTGCCCACCTGCGTCCCTCACCAACATACCTATTCTTCTAAGCCAACATCTTTACACATTTCTCGGCGATCTAGTAACAAAGTTCAGAATGGACCGTCAGAGTGTACCCGTCTCCGGTTCGGTGCAGAAGAAACGGCGCCGGCCCGCCTTGGCATGCGAGGCGTGCCGCCGCCGTAAAGTCCGCTGCGATAGGAACCTACCCTGCAGTACTTGCGTCCGCTCCAAGAATGCCCTCTGTACGTATACTACACAGACGACCCCAAAGAAGGCCATCATGCGGGGAATGAGAGAGGAGACCCCCAGACACGGTGCTCCTGCATCCGGCCCCGCGACTCTGGCTCTACCCGAGCCTATCATAGAGTCATTCCAATCCTTGCCCACGCCGAGACATTCGGCCCCGTCGACTGTCAGGGCTCCTAATACCGAATCCTCTTCCCCCAAATTCCTGACGGCTCCGGAAAACCTGTCTGGCGGGCATCCATGCCTTGCCGATTTTGGTTTGTGGCAGCAGGTCATCGAGCCACTGTCTACTCAGGCCCAGCAACCTTCTCCTGTTGCTGCCGCTGGAATCGGAAGTGTTAGGGCAGATACGGCTTCGACGCCAGGTAGCTGTCCTGAATCTTCGTCGACTGTGAACTCTCTTGTTTCCAGGGTGAAGTATCTTGAGAAGCAGCTGTCGGATCTCATGGTCAGGGGTGATGACCGAGATGAGCCGGCGGTTCAGGGTCCGTCGGACATGAGGGACATGAGGGAAGGGTTGAAGTATAGTCGAGGGTGTGTCAGCAAGACACGCTTCTTCGGACAGAGCCACTTTATGAATGCAGCTGATATGGTATGTACGGTAATCAACCCATTTCATTAAGTCTTGTACTTGTCACTTCCCACCTTGTTCCTGCTTGCTTCCACTTTACCTTGTCTTTTGCGTATGCCCTTATACTACATCATTCAATGTTATGATCTTTATTTTCTACTTCCATCTCATACCTTGCATCGAAAATCACCTTCACATTTACCAGATCAATGCTCCGCCCCGAGACGCAGCTTCTCCCACAGTCAACTTTGTCCTTCTGTTCCTGTCTTCCATTTCCATCTTACAAACAAGTCAGTCTCGACTATTCAAGGAAATCTCTGGCTAACAACGTCTAGCTATGTCGCCTAGTCAGCTTCGCCAAGAAGTTTGAGGCCGAGAAGACAACCCATCTCTACCAGAGCCTCGAGAAATGCAAAAACTTGGGACGTCTCATCAAATCCCGCCGCACTCCCGCCTTCAACACCATCACCATTGGCAAGAGCATGCCCTCTCGAGCAGTAGCAGATAGCCTTATTGACGCCTACCTTCGCACATTTGAGTCTGTGCAGCGCATCATTCACATCCCGACCTTCAAGGCCGACTACGAGCGCTACTGGGAGAACCCCTCGGAAACCAACGATGCCTACGTTGTGCTCATACAGCTATGCATGGCCATAGGGGCGACATTCCATGACGAACGCTTCACTCTGCGGACCCTCGCCATTCAGTGGTTCTGGGAGGGCATGTTCTGGCTCATGACCCCCTGTGAGAAGTCTAGGATGACCGTGACGGGTCTCCAGATTCGCTGTCTCATGCATTACCTAAGGCAGACGGCAAACGTTGGCTGCGATCTCTCTTGGATCGGCGCCGGGTCGCTTCTCAGGACGGCAATGTATATGGGCATGCACCGCGACCCCAAGTGGCTGGTTAAGATGTCACCGTACCGCGCCGAGATCCGCCGTCGGATTTGGGCCACAATCCTAGAGATCGTGCTGCAGACGAGCATTGACGCGGGCGGTGCGCCCCTCATTTCGACGCGGGACTACGACACAGAGCCTCCTGCGAATCTGGACGATGACCAGCTCGTCGAGGGTGCCGACTCGGTCATCCCGGTGCCCAAGGCCGACGGTACGCCCACGCAGATGACGGTACCACTCGCATTATTGGCAACGTTTCCTGTACGTCTGGCGGTGATAACGCGCACCAACCACTTCCGCTCCGACACGATCTACGAAGAGACGCTGAGATACAGCAACGAGCTGAATGCGTCGTTGCAAAAGATGATGACGACTCTCAAATCCCACCCCACGATCTCGCAGTTTGCCCTTCGTTACGTTCTGGTCATGACGTACCGCCTATTCTTTGCCCTTCATCAGCCAATCATTCCCCAGGCCCTACGGAATCCAATCTACTATTTTTCTCGCAAGGTGTCCGTCGACACTGCTCTCCGCATTTCCGAGGCATCATTCCTTACCCCCGAGAAGCCCGGCAGCGGAATCACAGCCAAACCTTCCACGGTATCGGAGCTAGACTTTTGGCGTCTGACTGTCAACGGTGCAGGCGCTTACCGTTCCGTTTCGTTCCAGAGCGTCATGACCATAGGTCTTGAGCTCATCCACCAAAAGGAAGAAGAGCTCGAGCACGGATCCTTCATGTCTATCAACAACCCGGATATGCGTGGAATCCTGGACGCCGTGGCTGATTGGTCGCGCCTGAGGATCCAGTCCGGAGAGACGAACATCAAGGGTCATGCGCTCAGCGTTTTGCTCGTCGCTCATCTCGATGTCCTAGAAAAGGGGATAAACGATGATAGCATCGACAGTTATTTTGAAAAGGCTTGTGAAGATAGAGTCTTGGAGTGCCACGCCTTACTCTTGGAGGTGGCCGGAGACGACGTTTCTGAGGAGGGTATCACTGCGCCAGATATCCACGACCTCGACCTAGACTTTTATAACGGAGTGGACATGTTGGGGGATTTGGACTGGGATAACATGGTAAGCGCCCCCCCTTTGCTGGCTTTTTTGGAGGTATCGTGAGCTAACAATACTAGGATAACGGGGGTTTCATCTCCAATCTGAACTTTGGAAACATTGACATGTTGTTTGCGTAGTCGTTGACTGTTGTCATTTGACTCACTGGGGAGAACGAGTCTTGATTGCGGGCGTTGAGGTCGCATCTCTGCGGCAAAAACAGAGTGAAAGCCGAGTTCATCCTACGGCTGGTAAATCGCAGATGCCGCCTTTCTGAAGAATAAGGGCATGCGATAGGGTTTGGTAGAGAAAAGGACTAAAGGATCTGCCCTCTTGTATAGTACACATGATACCCAGCTCCTGTCTTTTTCCCAGTAAAGGGATGTCACCAAATATGATGACAAGATTCAATGGCTTGATTGAAGCTTTTGGAAATGAGCGTAAAATACTCGCCGTCAGAAAATAGGTGTAATCCGGAGGATTGCATCACAGTGTCCTGGCTTGCAAATCTTCAAATTAAGCCGAACAGCTTCTTTGTCTCTATCTATAATGCGCCCGCTCTCCGCGTTCGTGATCAGACCATGACCGTTCCCAGCACATATTTCCTCGTTTGCCCATGATTCAAATTATCCCCGAAAAAGTGATGAACTCGCGACTCCTAAACTACCATAACCCGACCGATTAATGCGACCAAGCAAACCCACTCAAAAGTTTCTTTCACAGTCCCGAGTCCGACTGGGGGAAAGGAGCGTTTGCCGCGTAATCGGACCACTGATCGCAGTTACCGTCAATGTCGCTGACCTTGAAGGTGCTGGCAATGTCGCTTTGGCGCTCCAAGAACTGGACACTCAAGCCTTGGCTGACGTGCCACGCGATGTGGCAGTGGAACAGCCAGGCTCCCGGGTTGTCAGTCTTGAAGGCAACGACAAGCCAGCCACGGCCTGGCAGCTGCGTGACATCGCGGCGTGTCGGGTTCTTGAAGTTGAGCTTGGAGGTATCGGTCTGAGCATTGAAGCGAACACCGTCGCCGCGACCGCTGGATGCCGGCTCAGAGTGACCCAACACATAAAAGTCGTGACCGTGAAGGTGCATGGGGTGCTAAGGTCAAACGTCAGCAACCCGTCTGAAGACAAGTGCGATGTAGATGTGGTGGTGAGGACTTACAGGAGCTGGAAACAGGTTTTCGACTACCCAGAAAGCCCACTATAAGGCGTTAGTGTACGTAGTACTTGAGTAGTAGAGACAAATACTAACCTTGTTTTCATCTGGGACCTGGAAAACGTTGTAGTTCTGGGGGTAATCAGTGCTGTTCTTGGCCAGGTACGACAACGTCGGCAAGCTCCAGTCGATGTCCATGTTATTGCCGTTCACCTTCCAGTACACACGCTGCTGACTGGTCGTCCTGCTGGTGTCTACGGTAACATCCAACGAGTTGTCAGACGTCTTCTGGAAGGCTGTAGAGTCGACATCGACGCTGTAGATGGGCTCGAAGTCTGTCTTGTCCTGGCACTGAGCATCCGTCACAGCCTTGCCGGCGTCCTTGGGCAGCTTCTTGGTGTCTGATCCCTCGTACTGGAAAATGGCGGCCGGCTTGTTCATGTTGGACGTGCCGCAAAGCCTGTTGGAGGGGAAAGACACGTTGAACCAGTAGGCACCAACGTCCTGGTCGGCCTTGATGATGACCTCATAGCGCTGACCAACGCTCAAGTACAGCGAATCGGTCTCAAACGGCTTGACGGGGACGAAGTCGTTGTTGACAACTGTCATCTTGTGGTTGACGAGGGACACCGAGAAGGTGTTATCGACAGACATGTTGATGAGGCGAATCTTGTGCGACTTTCCTGGCTGGAGCGTCACGCGAGAGTAATTGCCACCGCCGTTCTTGTTGACGTTGGTACCGTTGAAGAGAATGTTGTCGCTGGCGGGGACGGCAGCGGGCGCGGTGAAGGTAGATCGAATCTCATCTGCACCCTTGTAGTACCAATCCGTGAGTGTGTAAACACCCAAGTCTTCATCGTAGTTTTGCGACGTAGGACCGTTGATTTGGATGGCACCAACAACTCCATTGGCGTACTGGTCGGAGAAGTGGGAGTGGTACCTAGGAACGATGTTTAGTTCACGTTTTTTTCACAGTTTCGTAATGAGAAACTCACCATGACGAGCCGTACTGCTCTGCCTTCCATCTGTACGTCTTGCTTGCACCGGGCGGCAAAGGACACTCGGTGATTCCGTTGACACCGTCGTTGATATTGTTGTTCAGCATACGAACGCCATGCCAGTGAATGGATGTACTTCATTACGTTAGACCATAAAATCAGTCGTAGACGTTTTACTCACCCATTGTTCCTGAGGTTATTGACAACCCTCACCTCAACGGTGTCACCCCAATCTGCCTCAATGTTTGGGCCTAAACATTACGGTGAGTTATGGACCGCCTAGGGGAGCATGGTTAATTTACCTGGAAAGCCACCTGTAGAAAATTTGTAAGTTAAATCTGTGCATTGTTATGATGTGGGATATAAACTTACCATTGATAAGCATTGCACTGTTCTTAGTCATTCCATCTCCACCCGTGTATGTAGCATACTCAGAGAGAACAAGATCGTACTGTTAATCAAGTTAGTAACATCTCTTTGATGATACCTAAGCTGCTCAACGTACCGTGCGAGTCTTTCCTGTGTCAGGCGTCTTCTCCTCATAAGCGGTCTTGATGTCGAAGCCATCGGACCAACACGCTCTGTTGTCGGCGGTATTGCAAGACTTGATACCAGTATCTTGCCTTTTCGCTACGCCCTCCTTGGGAGATGGGGATGGCGCTGCCGATGCAAGACCGTAGAGAAAGAGCAGAAAGGCCTTGGAGAGCGCGGACTTCATCTTGAATGTCGTATTAAGAAGCTGTAGGAATAATCCGTGCAAGTCAAAAGACCAAGTCCCTGGATCATGAATGTGTTAGTCGTATTGTCATTGAGTTAATGAAAGGGAGGATTCAAGACAATTCTCACCTCAGAACTGATCCAATATTCTCCTCCCAATACGATCTCAAGCAATCTTTGAGGTACGAAAGAAGGGGAGAGAGGGAAGCAAGCTACAAGCAGATCTTCCAGGAACTTCGATTTCAACGGCCGAACCAACCTCTAGATAAGGTGGGGGGAAAGCTGGTCTTTTGGGGGAGTCCAAAAGCTATAAGCCTCAAAAGCACGGTCTTATCGTTCGGGACAGGACCAGTTGCCTTGCCTTCTTCTGCCGTCCTTTGCGAAGAACTAATGGATCTTGCGCCGCGTAGACGAGCTCTATCTTCACCCCACGTACCGCAAACGGGCCTGTATACCAAGAGCTTGGTACCGCGTTTCAACATCTTAGATTGGCCACGAGATGAGATGATGTTCCAGGTAGTCTGAAGGCGAGGAATGAGCGGCGCGATGCGGTACGGGTGTGTTGTTGACAAGACGGTCCCGAGCCTTCGTCACCGATTTGGTACACGGTTCAAGTGTCAGATGAGCTGCCATACTGTCTGTCGCCCGCCATTCCCGGTCAGCGGCAAATCTGTCTTTTCGCCTTACCGGACCGGAATAAGAACCCGGCATGTTGGACATGTAAGGCACGGCTGGTTCAGCCCGTTCTGCAGGTTGCGAGGCAATTTGAGGCGAGGGAGTACGCAGTATAGGAGCCACGCCACCATGCAACTCTCGGGCGGCATTCGGATTCATAGAAGCTCCGCGCCTGTGATGGCTATATCGGCACGTCAAGAGGCTATCATGTTTGACTCTTACTGAATGATAAGTTCATACTGCATCCTCCAGCATAGCCCATTCTCGATCCTACCTCTCCATTGGATGTTATGATATTCGCCTCAACAATGTATGAGTGTGCTAGCTCGTAAAATACTCGCCTCTGGGAATGATCATCTTCTTTGCCACATAGACCTTGATCGCGTGGCGAGTGCCCGTGGCTATCAAAGGATATCACGCCTTTTCTCTACGCAGCTGGGTCGACTCTCAAATCAGCGGCCGTGATCGGCCGTGTCTTGGCTCTGCGTAAGCAAAGCGTATCTTGCGTTTGGCAGCTGAAGGTCTGAGCATTGTGGCTTTTGCGTGTCAAAAGTGAAAAGGTATAGAACATCACCACTTTTTTTTACACGACGCTCGGGCCGGAGACGCGGCGACTTGCATCTACTTTTCGCCGCTAGGTCCCAGTTCCCGTCTTACCCCCCCACGAAGGTTTGCACCTAGACACTGTGCCGGTTGCTTGTCTTGTCGGTGTCGGCGCATGCGGCGGTTGAGGAACCAAGATCCAAAACAACCGTGCGGCAGTATGGGAAACGCGACATGAAAGATCCATGAGGAACATCGGGGCATTTCAGATTCTGCCCGAGGATCAAACCAAAACGGTCTTCATTGATACCCGAACAAGAGTAAGCGAGGCTGCGTTTCTTGCCACTCTTTCAAACGACCAGCCAGCCAAGAGACGTGCGGGTGTCAAAATTGACGCGGCCCATTGTTCTGGGAGGACGGCGTTGCAAATGTATCCAACAATCTCCTGCCTCTGATATCGAGGATAAGTTTAAGCCTTTGTTTGGACACGCCGTAGCCGCGCCTGGATGGGATAAGAGTCGGCTTGGTAAAGTAAAATATTTCAACTGAAACTTCGCAAACCTCGATGTGATGAATACTTTGACCCCGCTAACTCTCGCTCGCACATGGTAAATGTCGGCAAGAGGCTGATTGGGAGCCCGACAGGTCTTTACTTTGCTAGGAACCATCGATAACTGAGCACTGAGGCCTGTCTTGTGTTGGCAAAGGCGAAATTGTATTTACGCCGGAATCTCACGAGCAAATAGCAAGGCCCGAGAATAAGCCGATCACCCGATTTGCTAATTGTTTAAAACACAGACACTTCGAGCTCGCTTGCGTATCACAATCTGCAGTGCTGGAAAATATGATTTCAAGCCATCCAAAATACTGGAGTGGGCGGAAATCAAGTTTGTTCGGTTCGCCAGCGCCTTTGATACTGATGGGCATTGTCTTGACACCCCGTTCTTAACAAAACTGGTGGTATGCGTCAAGCGCCAGGGGTGTTGTCGGCACATATGTAGCTTTTCTTTACTGCCTCGGCTATCAGATCTTTAAGATGGTTCAGTGATAAAGCTTGCCTCGAATAAACTGTTTGAAAGCTGGATGGCACAGCTGTTCTGGATCTCCAAACCTTACCATGTATGGTTGTTATTACGACCCATATCCTTGCCGTACATATTTAATGTATGTACAAAAGTAAAGCACCCGTAATTAGGCCGCGAAATACAACGAAGCAGGCATGGCATTAGCACAGCAAAGTACTAAGAAAGTGCTCAGAATAGACTCCAGGATCCAGGATCATTATTCATACTCCAGCATTCGAGGTACAACTACATTCTTAAGACGGCTAGCAAAATGCCCTCAGGTTAGTCTTAAGACTATTGAAATTTCCCGTCTTATCCCTTGTTGCATTAGTGGAAACCGGGAAGGCTGCCCAAGAGTGAGGCAACTCGTAGAGAGACAGTTTTGTTGTGACCAACAGGGATCCCTAAGCTGCGATAGGACTGTGGGGAAATACAATAAGCTCTATGCCCTAAGCATCAATTGGACTCACTGATTTCCGTTACTGGGGGCAAGCCTGAGCTGCCGCTGGTTCTGACACGTCTGTTCTGCCTATACTGATAGGATGATGAACTTGTTTTTGCCGGGTAAGTATTGTTGTCATTGCGCCAGTAGTAATGCTTGCTAACCGTGTGGTCTTACATAATGATTTTGCTTCTTACACCCGTCTTGCATGTATCCTCTCTAGTCCTAGCCGCTGTTCATAGAGAGGTAAACTTGCTTACTCTTGTTATTCAACTCCTACCCCGTTCCGTCATCAATTTGAGCTCTCGCCAGATCCTCTTCCGCTTTCGAATTAACAGTTACATCACTTTATTCTTCTTTTTATTCTCTCCGTTTCTCATTTCTCCCCATTTATTTATCCATTTTCCATCATTCTTCCCCCTTTTCGCCACATGCTCTCGGCGATTGTAAAGATGGACCACATGTTAAGCCCGGAACAAAAGTGCCCTGTCAACAGCCACGCCCAATACCTTGTCTAATTCCTGCCTTCAGTTGCTTAGACACACACCATTTGTGTCCCACGAGTGACTTTCCGACCTGTCCAACACCCCATTCACCAGCGATCAATGGGCCGCCCTCCTCAAATTAACCAACAGCGGACCCCGCCGTGCAAGAACATAAAGGCCCTGGTCATCCCAGTTGCGACACGACTCGTCGAGTTCCATGTCGAACTCCCAGAGCAGCTTGGCGAGAAAGGTCTGGGTGGTGAGATGGGCTAGGTTTCTCGCAATGCACTTCCTGGGGCCGTAGCCGAACGGGTTGAAAGCATCGCGGTCGTCGTTCTCAAACTCGGCTGGTCTGTGATCGAGCCAGCGCTCGGGCCGATAAGAGTCAGCGTCGTAGAAGTTGGAGGCCGATCGAGAGGTTGCGAACTGGTTGACGCCGACGATGGTGCCTCCTCGGACGAACTCGCCGCACTGGGGGGTTATTTTGGTTAGACACACAAGTGACAAAAAAGAGAAGAGCTGAGGGGGAATGTGACCTACAATCTGAGCCCCAGCTGGAGGGACCTGGCGAGTGAGAGTTCCGGGGATGGTTGGACGTCTGCGCAGCGTCTCCCGGAAACAAGCGAGCAGGTAGGGCAGGTTCTGAACATCCTGAGCCGTGATTTCATCCGACGACTTGAAGGCCTCACGGATCTCTTTCACAGCTTCGGCATATGCGTATGGTGTCGTCAACAAGTGGTAGATGGTACTGATGATGGAAGACGGCATGGCCTCTGGGGTTCCGAGGATCAAGTGCACACAGTTGATCCAGACCTTGTCGTCTTGCAAGCCCTCGCTCTTCGCCCTGCTCATCAGGTAAGAAGCAAAGTCACCAGAGTTGTCTCCGCCTGCATGCTTCTCCTCGGCCATTCGCTTGAGGACCATGTCGTGGACGTCCTTGACCGGCAACACGCAGTCGTAGCCCGTGAACCCCGGCATGCTCTCGACGGCGTTGACCAGGATCTTGGGGCTTCGGCGGAACTGAAGGTAGTAACACTGCACCCAGTCAAAAAGCCTCTTGAAGAGCGCCAACGAGGGGTGAACGGTTCCCTGCGACATGATGGCGTTGAGGTCGCGTCCCACCGTGAGTTGTCCGCCGAGATCGAAGAGCGCATTCTCGGTCCACGCCCCAATGTCGACCACGGCGGAACTGCCATCAACCGAAGCCGAGGGCGACCTAAGATGGGCGTTCAAGCCCTCGATCATTCTGTCGATGCATCCCGTGATGATATGGCCCCGCTCAACCAAGGCCTGATGCGAGAAGGCATAGGCAAGCGTCCGCTTCTGCGGCCTATGCTCGTCGCCGTCCGAATCAATCAGCGCCTTATGTTCGGCAAAGACAGCTGAGTACAAGATGGGGTCCTTGTTGAAGAGCGTGGTCTCGCCGTTGGCCTGCTTGTTACGCCCGTAGATGTCCCTAAAGGCCTGGCCGCAGTTGTATGTCAACTCATCGGGGGCAATTCGTACCACAGGCCCGTACTTGGCGTGCAGGCGCTTCAGGTCGTAGGGAATTTGACCCTGGGTGTAGCGAATAACGTAGGGAAACCTCGATGCTCGCCACAGGAGGGGTCCCGGGTACGAGCGAAGCGGGTGGAAGAAAAGGTTGTATGTCGCCTTGAACACCAAGGCCAGAACAATGAGTGCCGCCGCACAGATTGGCATAGGCAGCGACGCGAGCCGCTCACTCAGAAGTCCGAAGACTGCCATGGTGAGTGATGGTGAGGTGTGTTGACGATGTCTATCCAAATTCCAG